CCTGTAAGGTACTTCAAAACACTTGGATATTTGAATCACAATGATGTTTAGATTGCGTCAGGAGTCAAAGGAAAAAAATGATGGGGCCACATTTCCATCTGTCATTCTCCATTCAAGCAACCCATTTTAAAAAGAGCGATTACAGTCATTTTATTTTTACTAAATGTACACCTAAGGCTCAAGAGCCAGACAATGTAGAGGGTTAATGAACGAGGTTGTTGCATGGATATTAGAGGAGGAAGTAAGTGCAGATTATGATGATAAATCACACCTTTTATCTTAATCTGGCATATCGGCTTCAGTCACTTTCCCACCGCCATAACATAGCTTCACTGTGAAGAAGGCCAACATGTTAAAACCTATCAATTGCTTTCGAGATATCTAAAGCCACAACTCAAGATTCACTCTTCTTATATAAAACCCGATAGACAAATTCAGTAGCAGACTGAAAGAAGATAGATCTGATCCTTGATTAACTGCAAAGAAACAAACTAGTAAATGAGTGTGGAATTGTAGTCTCAAAGAAGATAATCTCTCGATCCCTGCACAGGAATAAATTGTGAGATCACTCAACAAGAAAAACGCCGTTTGATTGGGTATAGTGTCAAGGATGGGTCCTAGCTGTAAAGGTCTGGACTGGTGGAACTAAGGAATGTAGCTCATCTGAACATTTGCCGTGGAAATAGCGATAGGTCTTAAAGATGCACCAATAAACTGTTGCATAAAACAGATTTCCTAGAAATAGGAAAACGAACCACTGGCGGGTCGTGTGGGCCTTGCAATCATACCACTATGACACTTTGGTGAGTTGTGTGGGAGTCGTGTTAAGGGTGGATGAATTTCTAAGTTGATCTATAATTACTTTATCAGGAGACAGAAGGATTCCTGCCACAAGTAGATCTTAAGTCATGTTTTGCCAATTTTTTTTAATTTCGTGTTTTGCCAATGAACAAAGAATGGTTTTAGGCAGAACATTAATATAAAAAGGTGGGAGGGTAGAATTGCGGATAGAACTTTGGGAGATGTCTGTAATGATTTCATGGACTACAGAAGACTGACTACTAATAACAATGTTCAAGGACCTATCTGACAGGAAGGACTTGATAATTAAAAAGATTCTTCTAGAAATGCCACTGCTGGAGTGTCTGTGTTGCAATAGGGCAGGCAATTTTGAAACCATGGTATTGCATTCCATTTGAAAGTTGTGATTTCATATAAATAACGACACAAAATATTTTTTAAAAAATCGTCACCATTTTTTGAGGAAATGAGTTTAAAGATTACATTTAGCTTCATAATCGTAGGGTTGGAATTTCATTCAGGTTGTCTGAAAGACTTATAGCACTGTCCTATAAAATTTATAATTTATTGAAACTTTACAAATTGTATATGAACAAAATGCATGGAACAAGTACATTATTATTAAGCCATTGTGCCATCAAATAAAACATTCATTTATTTTAAAGGGAAATTATATTGAACCATTTAGCTATATTATAATGTAATATACAATACAGTAGTTTTAGTGCGATTCTCAAAAAAACAATGCAAATTTAAAACAATTTCTCTTATAATTTGTGCCCAGCAGTATTATGGCATTATATCCACTTTTATCTATTTTTTGTTTTTATTATGATCTAACAAATCTTGTCCAGTGAGTAGCATTTTTTAAAATCTTTTACAATTTTTTTAAAAAATTGTGTTATAGCGAAGCGAGAAAAAAATGAGTGCAAAGGAATAATGATGCCCCCCGCAAAGCAAATCCATTTTGTGCTGAATGTAAATGCAATCCTTTGCTTTGCTTTGAGTGTTTCATTAAAAGACATATAAAATACTAGTTTAAAAACCGCCCTATCAGGCGGGATTTAAGATAGATCCTTCGGAGGACTTTTGACTGGGTCTTTGGCTTATTCAGGACTTTGAGAGTCCCTAAGTCTTTGCATATTCTCAGTATTGCAAGCTCTCCTGGCTGCCGTTTGATCTAGGTGCTTATTTACACGGGACTTTCTTTTCGATTCAAATTTTCCTAGTCGTGTAGCAAATTGTGTTTTATATTTTTTCTTCCACATCTTTTCAAGAAATAAGACATTTGGAATATGATGTAGTTTTCTATTAGATTAGAATTCTTGTGTTTATTTTACCGGCTGTAGACATTATTTTGGTTTAAAAAATAAATAAAGTATACTTTTTTTAAATTTCATAATGTTTTGCCAATTAAATTTTCTGTTTACTCAATCTTTTAGTTTACCTGAATGCATCTTTCAGCTCTCTGGATGTAAAATAAAAAATGACCTAAAAAAAAAAAAAAAAAGAAAAAAAAAATCAAGGGTAGAAATTCCAAGAGAAAAAAAAATAAAAGACTGTCATATAGGAAGAAAATGAGTAACTACCGACACTGAGGTTCGAACGTGACACTCTGGACTTATGAATAAATTTTTTTCTGCCAGGTGCATAAATAGTGTTGTCAGGCTACTGACTGGAGTGATTATTGAGTGATTATTGAGTGGAACTATCCAGTCGAATTAGTGTGAATTATTTTGCATCGATGATTTGGGTTTTGATTTACCGGACGTTAAGCCGAGCCGCGCTACTAACAAGGTATTCATTGAAATGGTTAATTATCTTTTGTTGACTTTTACTTCTTTGTTCTTGTTAAGTATTTATTTGCGGTTGTAATTAAATACTGTTTTATCTTGACATTGAAGTCTTGAGTTATACTTAATCATTAACAGCCACCGTACGTCACAAAAAATCCAAAAAATATTTAAATTAAAAAAAAAAAGATTCTGGTGTCTCATGATCCCATAAGCAATCAATCATAGCATCCCACTCCCAATAAACCACATATAAAAGAGATAAGAAAATGACCCACTGGTGGGTCGTGTGGGCCTTGCAATCATTCCACTATGACACTTTGGTGAGTTGTATGGGAGCCGTGTTAAGGGTGGATGAATTTCTAAGTTGATCTATAATTAATTTATCAGGAGACAGAAGGATTCCTGCCACAAGTAGAACTTAAAATCAATTTATTAGTAGACGGCGAAGGCATCTTACTGTAGATCAATGATTCCCAACATGGGGTGCACGCCCCACTGGTGGGGGATGGTAAAATTTTGGCGGGACATGTGTAAAATGTGCACCCTTCGGCTTACTATACCAACAGAATAAAGGGGGCAATTTGAGAATGAGTTATTAACAGTGAATTGTTTTCTAGTGAGTCTGAGTGAAAGTGTTAACGTTAATGTGTGTTAACACATACGATGTATATACAGTATGCATATATAAAAATATTTGGGGCGTATGTATGTATATGTGTAATTGGCATGCATGTAAGAATTAAATGTTATAATGGTGGGGGCACCAGTATTTTAGAAATACCAAAGTGGTGGATGGTCCAAATGGTTGAATAAAAAAAACAAAAAAAAACTTACCTCATGGACGCCCGTACGTAAAAAGAATCTCGTGGGGAAGCCATATTGTTTTTTATGCTGACAAATTAACGCAAAATCACGGCGACCACGAGATTTGAGAAAATATAAATATGCAGTGTACGAAAGACGTGGAGAAAAAAGGAAGTTAGTCTACAAACGACCAGACAATACAACAAATACAACATCTACACTTTGTCAATCAGGATTAGTGCCTACTAAGGAATTTAGGCAAGTTTCTCGAATTTAAACTACAGGAACACTGCAGTAGATAGATTTATAATACATCTATTAAGATGTATGCGATTCCTGAGACAGATAGATCTATAATTGCCTGATGAAATTTATGAGAAAGCGGTTGTATACAGATGATAGTTTTAATATTTCTGAACGAGTTTGGTGCTATGTATGACATCCACATGAAAGTCTTGATATGACAAGTTTTTAGGTTAATGCCTAGGTTTTTTAGCAATTTGCAGTGTAGAGAAAAACGATGTTCAATTTCCTTATAATTAGGTGGAGGTGTGGATTATTACTATAAATAGACCTACAATTCATGTTGGTTGTGGTGTGGAGATTCCTACTAGAGTTAGATCAATTATTTCTGTATAAGGAGGTTGTGGAGATTCCTTCTATATATTGATCTGTAATTCATTTCTTAGGTGGGGGAGGGGTGGATACTGATTATAGACAAGGAGAGGGGGGAAGTTTCCCATTGTAGATAGATCTATATACAGAAAGGTATAGTTTGTTGCTTCCAAAATTAAGGAAAACCTATAAGCAACGACACTGAAACTTCATATAACTATTGATTAAGAACTTTAGATCCCAAATATCAAAAGAAAAAAGTTATTAAATTTTATAAAAGTTAATAAGGGACCCCACCCATCACAAGCCATAGCAAATATTCTTATATGACAGGATTTCTTAAAATGTAAAAAATCTTTTTGAAATTCATAATCTACTGTGTTTAATTGATAATTATATATGAAAAAAAAAATCAATATTATGAATTTCAAAATTTTTTTTAACATTTTCAGAAAACATGTATGAACATATTTTGTTTTGGCTTCTATAGGGAGATCACTTTACAATGAATTTATATAGGACTTTACAATGAATTTATATAGGAATTTACAATGAATTTATATAGCAAACTGGATGCCTTGAAAGACAACACTGAATTCAAACTAGTTAAGTATGATGCTAGTAAATGCACAAGGTAAAACCTGCTTGCTATGGAAGCCATAGCAGTACCACATGGTGCGGTAAGTTTATTGCGGCCTTAGTCTGCAAAATAGTGTCTATTTTTTTTTTATTTTTGTTTAGTCGCATATCAATCTCTATGGGTTATTAATGCCAAAATCTAACAATTTTATATTTTAATTTTTGAGATAATATTGATTTTAGTGATACAATATTTACTAATTAACCCGTAGTTGGGGGAGAAGAGGTGGATTTATACCTTTCCCAAGGATATTTGCACAAAAGCAAACATAATGAACCCAATTGGAATTGGAATTTGACTCTCAGATTAACAATTCTGAGCCATTATCAATTACGCTACCCAAGCTTACAGCACCTGGTATTCCCAAGCAGTCACCCATATAGGTAGTGACCAGGCTCGACCTTGCTTAACTTTAGTGATTGTATGGGAACCAATGTCTAAATGTGATGTGGCCATAAGCCATAAATAATGTCTATATGGTTATTACTGTTATTCTCTATATATTGTAATAGTATCAGATGTTTACTGGTAAATATACCTGAGTGCCAGAAAGGTTCAAGAAAGTGCTTAAGTACTTGAAGAATCATGTGTTTACTGTTAAAATATTCTCTTGAGGAGAAAATCTTCAAGGTGGATGCTGCTTTGAATCCCTGAAATGACTGGTACCTTTCAAGGACATTTTTAGAACAAAATATTCAGCCCCAGTCATGGTCTTAGAAGTCACTGACTACATCAGGAAAAAGATATCTTTCTACTGTGTTAAAAAAAGGTGGGTGTTGATGTCAACAGCAAGATCCATATTTTGCCATGGCTCAAAACCAGCCACCTGGAGGGAGACAATATTATGGAACCAAGGCAGTGTTCCCAGCTGCACAGCCAAGAAGGTGCTGAAGTTTTGCAAAGTTAATTTGGCTGATTTTTTGACAGCACCATTTCTGGTAATACTCCATCCTAAACCTGCTAAAAAACTCTGTGTGGGGTATTTTGAAGCAGGCTACAACCCACACTTCTTAGACCAAAACCAATACCTTCATAGCTGCCACCAAAGAGGTGGGGGCCCAGTTACCCAAAGACTTTGGGATTAAGAGGTGAGCAGCTTTTAGAGGACATGTTGAATTTGTAATTGAAAATAATGGAAGCCATATTGAATAAATTATTTGTTTCAATATTATCCATAACTTTTATTAATAATTGGCCTTTTTATACATAAGCAACATTTGAATATCAGAGCAATTTTCTAAGTTTCGTTTCCCTATCAAGTAAAGCAAACTGATAAATTAACAAGTAAGTCTGACCAAGTTATAAGCAGGCAAGTGATGTAGCTATTGTAGCAGTGTTCTGTTTGAATTGCAAAGTAAAATTAACTCACAAATATCAAGTTAGGTAAAATGTATAGACGCAACACTGATCCTAAGTAGAGGGTGGAGGAGTGGCACTTTGTACCCAACTAGAGAGCAGGTGAAAGAATGGCACTTTGAGCCTAGCCATAGTGCAGTTGTGGAGAGTGAGCCCAACCATATAGCAGGGAGAAGAGTGGCACTTTGAGCCCAGCTAAAAAGTGTGTGTTGTGGGGAGAGTGGCACTTTGAGCCGAGCCAAGGAGCGGGGAGAAGAGTGGCACTTTGAGCCCAGCTAGAAAGTGTGTGTTGTGGGGAGAGTGGCACTTTGAGTCGAGCCAAAGAGCGGGGAGAAGAGTGGCACTTTGAGCCCAGCTAGAGCCTGGGGATAAGAGTAGCACTTTGAGCCCAGCCAGAGAATGGGGGGGGGGGCAGTGTGGCACTTTGAGCCCAGCCAGAGAGTGGGGTGGATGGGCGGTAAGAGTGGCTCTTTTAACCCATCATAACATTGTTCTATTCTGCTTTGCTGTAACGGTTATCTTTTTTTTTCTTTACAGATTACAAGACATTTTGAAAGATGAGCTGGAGATTAGAGGAACATGAGAACTGCCATCACCTTGCAAAAAAAACAAAACAAAAAAACCCCAAAAAACACAAAAACAATCAAGGCAAATCCAGTATTCAAAATTATCTTGGTTTTTTGTATATATGTCCCAATGATTTTACAAAAAAAAAAAACAAAAAAAAAACATTGTATTCATTTTGTATTAAGTTTTCTTTCATTGTATAATTAAAAAGAAATAATTAAAAAGAAGTCACAAACTGAATAATGACAAGATTTCATCTAAGAAATTCGAACAGTTTAAAACTTTGCATTTCCACAAGGAAATCATATGAACTTACCAAAAGAAAGACTTTGTAAACAACACTGAAAAAAAAAAGAAAAAAAACTGGTCTCAGAATTTTTTTGTAAAGAATAAATAATTACATTTTGCATAAACACTGATTTTAATGATTAATTCCCAGTCAATATTCTTTTAAGAAAACATATTTTGCAGAAGACACACACAAAAAAAAGTAAAGAAAAAAACATTGACCCTCAAAATCACTTTGTATCTGACACAGTAAAAATAACACTTGGACTCAGGGTTGGAATTTATGAAATTTCTCCAATGGTGTTTGTGACGAGAAAGTTTTTTTGAATTTTAGTTCCCTCCTACCCATGTTTCAGGTTAAATTTAAGGATACAAAAGAATGGCATTTCTTTTTAATTATATTTAATTCCAGACCCCACACACTATGCATCTCAACATGATATATTACAAAAAAAAAAAAAAGAAAAAAAAAAGGCTAGTGGTATGTGGGTGGTATAATGGATACTGGTTCAGAATGAGAAATCAGACAGCTGATTTTGAATTCCAGTTGTATTCATTACATTCACTTAATCATAAATAGCCTTGAGAAAGGTTTGAATCCATCATGTCCCCTAGCTATGGGTTAAATAGTAGGTCGTGTGTCTAGAAGAATCATTGATCTTTTGAAAAAAATTGTTGATGTAATATTCACTCGAAAAAAAAAAAAAGTATTACTTACAATCCAAAAAATGTTTTGGATTTAAATAACTAACAAAGGGTTGATAAGCTGTAAAAAAACAGATCAATACCAACAAAGTTTTAATCATGAATATTAGTAATAACTGTATAGACTCTTTGCAGCCTAGAGCCACAATAACCTTATCATGGCAAGTGGTACTGCTTTGGCTTTTGTAGCAAAAAGGATTTACTTTGTGCAGTTACTAACCCCAGGCTCAACCAGGTTTGAATCCAGAGTTCTTCTTCTAAACTGGTTGCCAACCAAGGCTAGAGAGTTCACTCAATTTAATCCATAGCTGAGAGGGTGGGGAGAAGAAATGCACTCATAACTTTTTCCAAGGGTATTTGTGTGAAAGTGAATGCAGTGGCTTTGGCTGGAATTTGAAATTGGCTATTCAATACGACTTGCAACGCTGACACCCACCATGCCATGTGAACATATATTTTTTTTATTTTTTATTAATGTTCACCTAATACAAGGCCCAAGAGCCACTCAGGGTAGAGGGTTACTATGCAGTGTTGTATGAGTGTAAGAAAGGGTAAGAAGTGTAATTCATGAGGCTAAGGAAAGATAATGGCTAACTCTTGACTTGAAGAGGTCAAGATTGTTGTGATTGGGAAAATACAAGAGAATGAACAGACTTTGGACAAAACTGGAAGCCCAAACCTAAACATGGAACAAGGGATAAACCTCTACTCCTGTTCAAAAGACCGGGGAGGTGTGTGAACTGGATGATAGGCAAATCTATCTACCCATGCTATGTACATTGTAGTGATTCACCACCATTCCCTTTGTTTCCATTGGTGAGATGTAATTTCCACTAGGGCAGATTCTTCCCCCCGAACAACTGATATGTAGAGCTGACTCCCAAGATGATGCTTCCCTGATCACTACAATCTTAGCCTCTTTAAGTCTAGGTTTAGCCATTATCTTCCCTCCCATAACTGCATAGTCTCTAACCCTCTACCTTGATTAGCTCCCAGGCCTTGTACACTCTCATTCCCTTTATATTCCACTTATATGAGTTTCAATTAGCTTCTTCCCATGACTCCCTGCTCTGTGGAACTGACTTGCAAGAGGATGCTTCCCCAATCACTACAATCTTAACCTGTTCAAGTCTTGGATTAACCGTTATCTTCTACACATATCCACATAAACTATGACTCTTGCTTTGTAACGCTCTACCTCGATTGGCTCCCGGGCCTTGTATTGGGTGAACATCATTGTGAAAAAGAAAATAATAACAAAAATACAAAAACAACATCCATAATAGTAGTAAAAACAAAAATAAGATGTAGAAGAGGAGGAGGAAGAGATGGATACATCTTCTAGGAGCTGATGCACTGTATATCTGTTCATGAGCGGGAGTAGTCCTTCCTGACCGGTTATCAAGAAGAGTTTTTTTTTTAGCAAAGATAACTTAGAAGTCACATCTAGATACTTAGGAACTCACTCAACCAGAAATCGTTTAAACAGGCTGGGTTACCTGACATGAAGATATTTTTAACTTGGCCCTACCTGCATGGTTACTTTATTGCTATTATACAAAACCTGTAATCTTCTTTCCTTAATTTTTATGGCTCTTGATTCCTTGGGGAACATGGGGCCGCAAAAACACCTCTCCAGTGGATGCGGTTCTGGGTGATCATCTTCAGCTCAGCTCATATCATGCCAGCTGCCTTCACCTCTGTGTCAACACTTCTGCACCAAGTCTGTTTTGGTCGACCCACTTTTTGCTTCTCTTGTGGATTCCTGTCAAGGGCCTGCTGATGACACTAGAAGCAGGCTTGTGGAGTGTGCGGCCAATCCATCCCCATTTCTGTTTCTTGATGTCAATTTTGATTAGGGCTTGTCTGGTCCTGACCCACAGTTGGTCTTTGGAGACAACTCCTGAGACATCAGTTGGTAAATATTGCACATATTTGGCTGTGATGCATGTGTCTGGTATACCCTTATTAGATTGGGTGTAATAATCAGATTGTAAGAATTTGGGGGAGATGATGTCCTATTAATTAACACTGAAGAGGTGGATTTCTACCTTTCCAAAGGTTATTTACACATAAGTTAATATAACAAACCCAAATGGAATTGAAGCTCCCAGTTTAACAACTCTGAGCCATTATTCATTACACCACCCATACATCCAAATTTACAGCACTTGGTATTCCCAAGAGGTCACCCATCTAGGCAGTGACCAGGCTCGATGTTGCTTAACTTCAGTGATTGTATGGGAACCGTTGTTTCAACGTGATATAGCTTTAAGTCTGAAAATATTTTTAGATTGTAGAAATTTGGGGCAGATAATAATGATTTACTGATACAAGTCCTAATTAACTCATAGCTGAGGAAGAAGAGGTGACTTTGACGATCATACGAGAACTAGTATTTCAACTTGATATGGCTGCAAGCCAATGCTTTTGGGGAAAAATATGGTTTCTTATATGCCATCAAATATGGTGTGTACAGAAATTGATGAATGAATAACACTGAAAAAGAAATTTTCGCATCATGCCAAAACAATTAGATGTCGTGGAAATCCAAATTGTTCGCTATCCCAAAGAATTAGTTCCAGGAATGCTTCCATCAATGGAAACAATCTTATATATAAAGTACAGTGTATGCGTGTGTGTCCCAGCAACTCCTCCCATTTCAATGATTCATAGCTCATTCAAAAGCCTTAGAAAAGTTAGGAGCAGGGAATGATTTTCGTTGATTTCAGATTCAGGGTTGCTAGATTATGCGAGGTTAAAAATATATATTAATATATCATGCTAGCCATTATCATTGCTTTCATGGTTCAAGGAGAGTAACTCTTATTTTCCTTTTGTATCCAAAATTGCAGTGCCTGTTTTATAATAAACTAGCTCAAAAGCTGCCCTATCTGGAAGCATTTAAACTAGCTCCTGTGGAGGATGCTTGGTTTGACCATCATCAAAATAGCTAGGGAGGAGTAGATGCTATAGGCATCAATAAACTACAGAAGAACTCAAAATTGATTGCTGCATTTAAGTACTGAATTAATGTTTAAGCTTAGCTTTTAAAAGTTCAACAATAATTCTTTTGCTGCTGCTTAGTTTAAAGATGATTTGATGTACGTAGATCCTTATTTTACATACAAACAATTATTATTTCATGGGTGGCAGAACAGGGGACAAATTATAAGATAAAATTAATATAGTGTAAAGATGGGAAAATAGAAATTAGAATTAGTCATACATTCAATATTTGAAGAGTTAGAAAAACATAATAGCTAATTAAGTAAAACCTATATTATAGAATCTATATAAACAAATGTGAAATTGGAGCACAATTATTCAACAATTCTGGGTTAAAAAGCCCCAACTCTATAGTAATTTATACGCTAAAATATATATCTGTATTATATATTATCTACTTCAAGGTGATATTGATGTTAAAAAAATATATTTCACTAATTAACTGTCCTTCATTAGTGTTCTTTTATTCAAGGATTGTTTTGATTTTCATATCAAAAATAGTTCTGTTTAAGAATATAGTTTTACATAGTGCAGAAGAGTAGTTGAAATTTGCATTTTACTTGGCCTTCAACAAGTTGGCATCTATTTGTAAAACTTTCTTTAATTATAACAAGCCAATTTATAAATGAAATGTTCACTTAAAATTTTTGTTTCAAATATTTCAAGTAGTGAATATATCTTATTTTTTGAAGTGATAGTGGGCGGATGAAGCCTGCTAGTGCTGGATAAAGTATGTCTTCAGAAGGGGGCTACTTGTAGTTTTCTTTAGTATAACACCAGCCCTGATACTTTTTCATCAGACTTTATATATCCTCAAAATATGCAACTATTACTTCATCCTTGTGTACCCTTACAAGAACTTCATTAATAACTCACTATCTTGAGTGGCTCTTGGGCCTAGTATTGGATAGAAAGTAGTATAAAAATTATTATAAAAGAAAAATTCATGCTTTATAATTATTTATGTTTATTTTTTGGGAATCAATTTTCTTTTTTTTACAAAGTTCTTACAATGATGTTCAAGATCCAAGAGCCACACGAGGTAGAGGGTTACAGTGTAAAAGGCACCATGTCAAGCAAGGTAGTAATACCTCCAAGATGCAAGGAGCCACCAGAAGTGCAGGAGAATGAAAAGACTTTAGAGAGAACTAGAAAAAGAATCCTAACCAGGAAACAAGGGCTAAATCTCTACTCCTGTTCAAAAGATGCAGGAGGAGTGTGAACCGGACGATAGGCAAACCTATCTACTCTTATTGAGGAAAAAAATGTAAATAAGTAGTAAATAAAAGTTCAGAGGCATTAGAAGTATACAGCTGAGGTAGAATTTACAAGGAAGCAGAAACCCAACCCTAAACATGAAACAAGGAATAGACCTCTACTCCTGTTCAAAAGACTGGGGAGGATTGTGAACCCTAATATAAGGCATAAGTCACCTCAAGCAAGGTGATAATGCCACTAAGACGCTAGGGGCTACTGGGAGTGAAAGAGAATGAGAAGATTTTAGAAGGAATCGGAAACCCAACCTAACTAGGAAACAAGGGATAAACCAAGACTCTATAAAAAAAAAAAAAAAAAAAATAATATTAGTAATAGGACTAATAAACTTTCTTGTATATTATTATATACTATATATATATATAATATAATATTTATTGTATATTAGTCGACCTTTTCACCAAATGGAAGATTGATGAGATCAATGTTAGAAATCAGAATTTTTGGACACACCCATGTCCTTCCTCAATGAGATGAGAAATAAACAGCCAGCCATTATATATATATATATATATATATATATATATATGTATGTATGTATGTATGTATGTATGTGCAAGCTTCATTAAATATAACAGACAAGGTGCCTTGATTAAGTTTTTTATATAATTTCTCATATGATCTTATAATTTTTTCTTTTCAGTAAATAAAGTATACAAAAACTGTCCAAATATTTTATCTTTCGGCTATACATTTAGCCATTTTTTGTTGAAATACATATTTAAAGAGAGTTATCAGCTGTGTGGGGCACATGTTGTTTTTTTGGTACCAAGTCATTTTGCCCATGAGCAAATGTGCAGGTATCTTGAGTAAGTGGACAACCATCAGAATGGTTCTCATGGAACCAACATAAAGCAGTTTTAAATGATCTTGTTCGATCTTTGTTTTTTGATCGAGATTTGTGACCCCACGGTTGGCTGTAGTCTCTCAGCTGAACACTACTTCCAGAAACTGAAAAAGAAAAAAAAAAGATTTGTTTCAGAAAATAAATTATATTTTGAGCATTAATCCTTTTCCCTAAACAATGAAATTTTGGGAAAGAATGTAAAGATACTGAATTGGAAATTAAAATGTGAAAAGTTCAGTCAGCTTTATTCGGACTACTGTCCTCATCTTTGTTGCCATGTTTATCACAACGTTTTGGCCGTTGTACGCTCCAGCCTTCTTCAGGTGGTCAGAATGTTGAACTGAACCCTTTATTTCACTCACTGGGGTAGACTGTTCTAGTTCCACGTGCCATGTCTAATGAATGTCAGTTATCTCCTGTTAATTCTCCTCTCCAAGTTATCCACTGCCTTAACCAGGTATTGAACTCACACTCTTTGGGTCCTGATAGTTATCCACTTTATCCACTGGCACAGTAAGGACTTTCAGGTATTGAACTCATTTAACTGACATCCATTAGACATGGCATGGTGGAACTAGATCTACCTGGTCTAAAGGTTAACAACTTTATCCATCTGAAGAAAACAGTAGAGAAACGGCTTAAATAGTGTGACAAATGAGGACAATACCTGAATAATCTCAGAAAATATCTCAGAAATATAGACAGATTCAGTCTGCTTGTTTAATAAATAGGACAAAGTAAAAAAGGTTTTTGAATTTACATTGTTAGAAAGAATATATAAAAGAGGAGGTTCAGAAACAATGGAAAAAAGAATTTTAAAAAGTTTCATTAGAAAGGAAAGTTTAAAAGAAGAATTGGGAGAATATATACAAGGAGGATTATCATGAAAGGACATATAAAAAGGAGGATTATCAGGAAGGAACATATATAAGGAGCATTATCATGAAGGGATGTATATAAGGAGGATTATCAGGAAGGGATGTATAAAAGGAGGATTATCAGGAAGGGACGTATAAAAGGAGGATTATCTAGACAATTATCTTGTGGGGCAATTCTGAAGGCTTTAATCCTAATGTTCTTACTGACTCTCGCTATTGCTGCAGCCTTGCTGTGAAGCTTGACTCCCATTGCCATTATTTCACTTTATTTATTAGTATCCCTTGCCAACAAAGATGAAGAAATTAGACTGTAATGTAAATAAAGTGTCTGATGTTTGGTCATATTTTGATTCTGGAAAGTGGGATAGGGGTGGAAATATGGATGAGCAAAAATGACAACACTCAATATTTTCCCCATATTAGTAAAAGTATGTACCTGTTATTAGAATACTGTCATACAAGAGGCCAGATTCAAGTAAATAGTGGATAAATAATTACTGAAAATGTATTTGGTCAAATAATAATAAAGCCTTTCTTTATACTCTTGATCATCCATTACAAGGCTCAAGAGCAACTCAATGTAGAGGGTTACTGAATGAGTTTGTTTTAAGGGCATAGAAAGAGGACGGAAGAAGTTCAGATTATGAGGATATGTAGGATAGATAATGGTTGAGCCAAGACTTGAAGTGGTTAAGACTGTAGTGATCAGAGAAGCATTGTCTATTCCATAAATGAGTGCTTCTCGGAAATAAGCTAAGTGGAACTTTCTTCTTATCAATGGAAGAAGGGAATGAGGATGATTGGTTCTAGTGTCAAGGGTGGGTCCTAGCTGTAATGGTCTGTACTGGTCGAACTAAATAACGTAGCTCATCTGAACATTTGCCGTGGAAATAGCGATAGGTTTTAAAGATGCACCAACAAACTGTTGCATAGTACAGATTTCCTAGAAATAGGAAAACGACCCACTGGTGGGTTGTGTGGGCCTTGCAATCATACCACTATGACACTTTGGTGAGTTGTGTGGGAGCCGTGTTAAGGGTGGATGAATTTCTAAATTGATCTATAATTAATTTATCAGGAGACAGAAGGATTCCTGCCACAAGTAGAACTTAAGTCATGTTTTTTTTAATTTCGTGTTTTGCCAATGAACAGAGAATGGTTTTAGGCAGAACATTAATATAAAAAGGTGGGAGGGTAGAATTGCGGATAGAACTTTGGGAGATGTCTAATGATTTCATGGACTACAGAAGACTGACTACTAATAACAATGTTCAAGGACCTATCTGACAGGAAGGACTTGATAATTAAAAAGATTCTTCCAGAATTGCCATAGGTGGAGTGTCTGTGTTGCAATAGAGCAGGCAATTTTGGAACTATGGTATTGCACTCAATTTGAAAGTTGTGGTTTCATATGATAAATAACGACACAAAATATTTTTTTCAAAATCACTAGTGTTCTTAGCTTTGTGGATTGATTGATTGAATGAATGATTTGTTTTTTATGGCTTATCAACCTTTTGCAGGTTATTTAAAGCCAGAAAATATTTTTAGATTGTAAGAAATTTTTTTGAAATAATGATTTTTGAGTGAGCCAAATCCTATTAATTAACCCATAGGAGGGAGGAGAAAAGGAGGATTCATACCTTTCCGAAGAGTGTTTGCCCGTAAGTGAATATAATGAACCCGACTGGAATTAGAACACGGATCCCTGGTTTCTAATGTTTATCCATTATATATTTCACCACATGCACATCCAAACTTGAGACACCTGATATTCCCAAGTGGTCACCCATTTAGTTACTGACCTGGCTTGACATTTGCTTAACTTTGGTGATTGTACAAGAACTGCTGTTTCAATGTGATATGGCCATAAGCCATTTGCTTTGTGGAACACAGGAAATATCCGGCAATGATAGGCCACATGAGCCATACATGACAAAGGCTTGCTTATATCTATGAGTGTCTCATGAGACAGCTGAAGTATGGATGTGATATTTCCCCATATTAGCAAAGGTATGTACTCGTCATTAGAATACTGTCGTAAGACAGGCCAGAGTTAAGTAAGTAAATAGCAGATAAATAATAACTAAAAAATGTGTATTTGGTGAAATAATAGGAAAATTCTTTGTTTATACTATTGGTCCACCATTACAAGACTCAAGAGCAACTCAATGTAGAGGACAACTGAATGAGTCTGAAGTATGGGTATAGAAAGAAGAAGTAAGAAGTGGAGATTATGAGGATATGTAGGATAGATAATGTTTGACCCTAGACTTGAAGATGTTAAGATTCTAGTGATCAGGGAAGCATTGTCTCAGGAGTCTGTTCCACAAGGTAGCATTTCTTGAGGAAAAACTGTGTTGAAACTTTCTTTTTATTAATGGAATACAAAGGGGAATGGAGTTGATTTGTCCCAGTGTACATGACATGGCAGGTCTTAGCTGTAAAGGTCTGAACTGGTGGAGCTAAGGCATGTAGCTCGCCCAAACATTTGCTGTGGAGGTAGCAATTGGCTTGCGATGTTTTGTCTGTGGAAAAGGGACTGTAGGAATTAAATTACCCACAAGAATGTGTAGATGTTTTTGAACTTTGATAAAAGAGGACACAATTTAATAAAAATGCTGAGAACATCAATTAATTTTTGTTAATTCCCTCACTGTTTTCATATAAAGAACATACATTTGAATTATCACAACTTGGTCAAGCCAGAAATTACTGTATTTTGTGGCTTACAAGATGCTGTGGCTTCGAAGATGCACCCTAATATTGAAAAGAAATTTCTAAGAAAAAAAAAAAAGTCATTCTCATACAACACATTCAAAATACGTCCTTCACATACTGGTACCATGTATTGCTTACATTAGTCCTTTGTCCGATTTTGTTTGTATGTGTTATACTGAAACACACCTATTCTATTGTTAATAGACTCTCCCACATATAATAAGTGGTAGTAATAGCAGTTGCCAGGGGGCTCAGTGAGTTAATCGAGTCAGTCGATGTCGGACATTAAAGTATCAACCACCACAACTAGATTGCTGCATCATTAACTATTGTTTCAAGTTCCTAACGTTTTGTACGTCGAACCTTTTAGGACCAACTCAGTGAAAACACAAGCCTCCACTTTGAAAACTACTCTACAACAGTATGACAATGGCATACTAGTTAAGAGCAGAAAGGCTCCTGCTGCTGCTAGTAAACAGAGTGTGTTTAAGCTTGTTAAATTTCTTTTAGAAAAATGTCTTTTTTTTTTTTCATTCTTCTTTTTGACAGTTTAGGGTTTCAATTATCCAGAATATTGAATTATGCCAACATTTTTTCAACTCCTGTTTCAAGGTGTCTGAATAATTGAGAATGTACCGTATGTTGTTGAACATTTGATAGAAACTGACAAATGTTTAAGTCAGTTGAACTTTCAAACAGAAGCTACACTTAAAAATTCATCTACTTTGATCCATCACTGGGAGTCAATGACAGAAAAATGTAAGGTCAGCCAGAAACAGACAAAAATTGATGCAAATTGTTTAAAAATGTTATTTGATGATATAAATATTAAATTTCCTGCAGAAAATGATTTTTTCTTCATATCTTTTCCAATAATTTAGGAGTTCAATTACCTAGAAATTTGAATTTATGAAATCTTAAGAAATTAAAATTTCAGCCTCTTTGTATTTATATTAGTTAAGAGCAGGACTCCTTGGATAATTTAAATCATCAATTTGTTTTTTATCAAACAGAAACACCATTTACTGAAAATCAGCTCTGAATCATAAAATAAAAAATGCAATAAAACTATAACATTATAACATAATTAGAAAAGCTTTAAATTGTTTTAAAAAATAAGATATATTAAGAACATTATTGTCTTAAGAAAATTTTTTTTTCAATGAATAATGAATATTTACAAGAATTGTTTTCATTTTTTAAAATTTTATTTAGAAAAATTTATCAAGTTTTAGATTTTAAAATTTTGTATTAATTTTTGGTTTTCAGATTCTATTATTAAAAGAAAATATATTTACTAATCATAAATTGATAAGCTTAATATAAATCATGAAATACCAATATATTTTGTATGTGAATTTTTTGTGTATGTATAAACATGCTGATTTTTGTAAGTACGGGTACCATACACAACATTATCAGAAAATAAGAGCAATAGCTTTAGTAAATTTAAAATCGTCATTTCTAAAATTTAATAAAACATTAGATTATGGACAATATTTTCCTAAGTTTTTAAAATTACTGTGTACTTAAAAATTATATAAAAAAAAGTGCTCATGCCATTTTCTTAAATTATCTTTAACAGATAAAATCTCTGTAGAACAACAACAGACTTGTCATCAGGCTGTCAACAAATTAAAACAGCTACTGTTGGTTCAAAAACACAGCTACTGTCAGGTTAAAAAATGCATTTCTGCATTATTTTAAAGTTAAAATAAATAGTAGTTGCTTCAAATCAGATTAATTATACTTTAAATCGGCTAATATTCCTTAAATAAAGTTTCAGTAAAGTATATTTTATTTTTGGAAGGTTTTTTAATAAAGAAAATTACATTGTGATAAAAGACAGCTAAAAAGGGTGCTAATCAGCTATTTTAGCAAAAAACACCCCCAAAAACTCCTTCCTGTCAATTTAAATTATTTTTTGAAATACACCAAAGTATTTTGCTTATTGGAAAGATTAAATTTAATCTATTAGTTTGAAATTCAAACTAAAATAAAAGCTTCAAGAAAGATCTTTCATTTATAAAAATTAATTTTAAACCTTAGGTATTGTTTGTTTTTTTCTGGTTTTGTGGAGGTACCTAAAGAAAAGGAATGTGTGGAGAGCCATGATCATTCATGTCCTGAAGACATTAAAAAAAAATTAGATCCAATGGCAATCTCTCACAAAAGATCTGACATTTTTTTTCTCATGTTGGTGATTGGAAAAATATTTGATTAACTATGGTTCAACTAACGGCAAGGGACATGGGGTCCCATAGCAATTGTAAAAGAAGTGGTTTAATTTGTATCGCATTATACCTATTTTTGGGAATTAAACTGACCGTCTAGTTGAACAGGACACAGCAGCAGCATTTTCTTTAAGCCACAACATCTATCTTACTTCTCAGATTGCTCTTTTGAATAAGGAAAGAAAACTTTTATTTACCTTGGAAAATGTGACTGAAATTTTTCAGTAATGTCTGCAGTCCTCCATTTTCTTTTTTCAGAAGCTGAAGTGTTGCGGAATCAAATAAGGAAACAATTTCCGATAATGGCAAAACACCTGAGAAATAAAAATCATTTTATTAATTTATAAAAAATGTTCACACGTATCGTCTTGCTTTAAAACATCATACTTGTTACTTGGTAATATTGTTATTTTTTTTTATTTTTAAAATATAAATTTATCATCAAGCTGAAAAGTAAGTTAGATAAAAAGAGCTAAAATTTTAAGGAAACTTTATGCAGTAGTGGGTTAATTTTATTTCTATTATTAAATATATGATAATGCTTTTCAGGAAGAGAAAATCCCTCTGACCTGAAGAGAGTGAGTAAATTAACTTTGAAAAAGGCATGCAACCTTCAATTTTTATTTGATTCTTCAAAATCGAGAGTGGAGGACTTTTGGCCTCTAGTGTGTGTGTGTGTATATATATATATATATATATATATATATATAAAAATATGCATACTTAGGCAGCATATCTTCATTCGAGCATGTTTGGTTAAATAATTTAGATATATTATGTTGATTTATTTTTATTTTAATCCTCTCATATACATGGATATTTTTTTTTTAATGCTGTAATTAAACTCATTGAGAAAGATGCCATAGCTGTTCTTGTACTTTTCATTTCCCCAAATCCTTTCAATCTCATCCAAGATCATCTTCTGGGGTGAATTACTAATTACAAAGTATTAATGAAACCAGCTCAGTTAATTAAAAAATTTATTGTTATTTCAGGGAGGTAGCTTATTAAAAATTGTAATTATGTGTTTTGAAACAGTTATAATTGTAGTTTTTTTTTCAGTTATTAATTATATTATATATATATATATATATATATAGGCAAAAAATATATATGGATATGAGGCAAAAAAATGGACGCAAACATAGAAATGATGATGAACAAAATATAAAGCTTATTACATTTGTATTTATATTTATTAACATGCCTAAGCATTGTTCTGACTTTGAGAAAGGACAAGTTACTGCTTCACGTTCCAACATGTTAACAATCCTAATTATACTCCCCTAAAGAATTATCAAGAGAGGAAATGGGTTGACGGTAAATTGCAGCTATTCCAGTGGCCTAGTCACAGTCCTGACCATAACCCAATTTAAAACTTTTGGGTGATAATGGACAAGCGTGCATGTAATCAGAAAGTTAACACAGAAGATGAGCTTTTTCGGGAATTAAAGAAATGCTGGAAAAATCTGGCAAAGGACGTTGACTTACTAAAGAATTTAGTTTGTAGCATGCCACAAAGAATTAAGGCCATTATTAAAGCAAAAGGTTACCCAATAAAAATACTAAATCATTTTTTGACTTGTACAATGTATATATGTACACTTGTATTAATACCCTGCATTAATAAACGAATTCTATTACTGACTAGTCTTGATAAAAATACAAAAATCAACTTTCTATGGTTTGGTTTGGTTTGTTTTATGGCATATCAACTTCAATGGGTTATTTAATGCTGAAAATTTTTTATTGCTGGTAATATTTTGTTTTGTCAAAAATCTATTTATGGTAATATTTTTCCTTCAAAAATGTATTGCTGATTATTTTTTCCCCAAAAATGTATAGTTGGTAATATATATATATATATATATATATATATATATATATATATATATATATATATATATAATTTCCAGACAGTACTGTTTTGCAGTATCACAGCTCCTCAGTGCAACTAGACATCAGAATGCCTCAAGCCGAGATCGAAACCCAACTGGTTTGGTGTCAGAGTTTCTACAACTGAGCTATCATCATTTGACAGAGAGAAACAGCTAAATCTAGCGTATTGTTTTTTCATGAATGTAAACAAATGCCAATCAGCTGGAATATATATATATATATATAAATAAATATATATATATGATTAAATTCCAACCTGATTACATTCCGTCACCACCAACCAGACCTCGAACTACTGCCAGTCAAGGTGAATGGATGTTCTCTCGAGGAGGCCTTATGCCTCAAGAAGATATTGGATCTTAAACTCACACCTAACCTCAAGTGGAGTACCTATATAAGCTCAATTGCTAAAGATGCAGGTAAAATGATTGGCTCCCTGTACCGCTCCAGTAAGTACCTGACTCCTCCTGATATCCTCTACCTTTACAAGAGCCAGATCAGGCCGAAAATGAAGTACTGTTGCCATAAAAGAGAGAGAGCAATAAAAGACTCAGAAATAAGAAGACAGAAGATAACAATTGACATTAATTTTCTTTTAATATCTTCTATCAGTCAATGCACACTGGGTCTGGGAAGACTGCTTGACAAGTTTATGACTTCAGCAATAAAATTATAATAATAATAATGATAATGATAATAATAATAATGATGTCATAATTTTTTTCCATTTAGATATAAGATTATTTAGTAAATAGTAGAATGAGAAGTCAAATTTCAACTGAAATATCATCCAGGCTCCTTGTGTTGACCTCAAACTGACAGCCATTTATTACCTACCAGTGTTAGAGGTCAGTGTCCAAGCTCAGGTAAAAGCCCGAGTTTTGAATGCTGATTTCCTTAGCAAGAAAGCTCCTCCCACTTGGCATAACAAGAACTTCCACCTAAAAAATCCCAACCCACCCATCCCATGTTGTCCTTAGTGAATATTAACTCTTCTGACATTCCAATGTCAAATAGGAGTGGAGATGTCTAATGTTCATTGGTTGACAGATTGACTGTCATTTTGAAGGAAACATAACATTAACCTACCAACAAAAAATGTAGGTTCACAAGATCAAGAGGAAATTAAAAGAAAATGGATACTGCAGATTTTACAAGCAAAGTAAAGTTTAGATGTACAAAGAAAAATAATACTGACTGGATCTTTCTTTTATTAAAACATTAAAATCAATGACATTTAAAATTTTTAAAATATTCTTTTTTTATTTGGTACATTTTTTTCATTTTGAATTGGGTAAATATTTCTCAATGTTTGGGTTTGTCAAGAAAAAGATATTTAGATTTTTTACTCTTATATAAAGTAGGGTGGGGGTTAATAATCAGCAGGGTTCAGAATTATTTTTCAGTGTACCATAAATTGGGTTCTTAGTAAAAGGGAGACTCAGAAAATCATTTTAAGGGTCAATAAGGGCAAAATTAATATGCGTCTCCATCTTCTATTAGGCACCTAAGACTATAAACTTACAATAGAAGACACACACACACACACACACACACACACACACACATATTTATTTTGTGTATTTAGGTAGCAATCCCACATTTATACATGTTTCATTAAAGATGGCAGACAAGGTACCATGATTAAGCTTTTTATTTAATTTTTCTTGTGTTCGAACAATTGTTTTCTTTTCTGGAAACAGAGTGTGTAGAAAATGTCCAAATATTTTATGATTCCGAGTGCTTTTGGCTATACTTTTAGCCATTAACAAGGATGATTTTATTTTTACTTTTTAATTGGGTGAATGGGTTGTGTGCATGTTTCTAGAGTTATAGGCATGTTTTATTTTCCGAAAACAGCACATTGTGGCCGTGTTCACATTTAATATTATTGCGTGTTGGCTTTTTCTTTTTTATTATTAAGGCTTCCATTACTTTTAATCTATTTTTACATGTGGAAGAGGTTATTATGCTTGTATTTTCTACTAATGTTTCGGATGGAGTCTGGTAAGTTTGTGCGTGTATTTAAATGGGTTCTGATGGAGCTGTGGTTGGATAGGTGTAACATAAGTGGTCTGGTTTCAATATGTCCTGTGTGTCTCAAATTCTCCAAGCCTTCTTTTCTTTTGTGTGCCCTAGAAATTTCAACTACTTCTTTCTGATTATAAGTACAAGCATCCTTTGTGATCTTATTTTTCAGAGAACTTTCTTGTTGCTCCCATCATCAAGAAAAAAAAAATTGGGGTTTTGTTTACATCTCTTTCTTTGTAGAATTGATGACATATTCAAAAAATTATGGAAATTTGGTTAAAAAATGAAGACAGACTTACCTCCCTTGTGCCATGATCTTCCATCAGAAAGTTTAATAATTGTACCGTTTTCAGCAGTTATCAGTTTTTCTATCACAGTATCCACAATGTGAGTCTTAATGTCCCCAGGAACATTTTTACACATTCCAGTTGTTTTTGGAAGACTTCTTGGCTGAAAATCTGAAGTCCAAGATTCTGAGATATTTTCTGGTTTTGATTGTGTTGACGAGTCATCTCCTTCCTGGCCTTCTCCAGGCTCACTTGGATGACGATGTGAGTTGCTTAAAGAAGTCTCAGAAGTTTCAAGCTTTTGTCTTTTGCAGCGGCCATTTATAAAGTTACTTCGTAGTTTATCAAATTCAATTTCTTGGTCTGCTGAGTACGTCCGTTTTCTCCCTAAGAAACAAACCTTATTGAGAAAAAAAAAAAAGAAAAAGAAAAAAAAAAAAAAAAAAAAAAAAAGCAACAATAATAAATTTATATATCATGAATTTTTGGCAAGTATTTTTTTCATCTTAATGTCCAACAGACTCTTATAATAATACCAGCTTGCTCATAAATTCTGTCAGAATTTCTGGGATGAGGAGCTATTATTATTTACACTCAGTCAAGCATGGCAGAGTAGGTTTAAAGTTCAAAGTTCTAAAACAGGAGTATCCCACAAGAAATTACCCAGTGGATTAAAGTGTTGGTTGTTTTGTGAATATGGTGTCATAGTAATTGTGAGTTCAATCCCTGGGCCAGGTAGTGCAGACTTGGACTCAGTGGAAACAGGGTTAACAATAACTGAGCAGTAGCAAATAAGAATTGTTTATAACAGTGTTTGGAAGGAAAGTGTGTAGAGTGTGGTTGGCTCACCATGCCACAGAGGTTCCATCGATGTCCATGGCTTGTGCAGCAGTTCCCCCTCCCCCAGGTCCAACATCCACCATATTCTTCAGATCTTGCACCTTGGGATTTATTCCTCTTCAAAAATGAAATCTCTCTTGAAAGGAACAAGATTTGAAGACGTCGAGGAAATCCAAGAGAATGCAATAGGGCAGCTACTTGGTCTTTCCCAAGAAAAAGAGTTCCAGGAATGCTTCCATCAATGGAAACAATGCTGGATAAAGTGTATGTCTTCAGAAGGAGATTGCTTTGAAGGAGATTAAATGCCCGATTAATATGTGTTGTAGTTTTTTTTTTTTTTTTATGGCACCAGTCCTGATACTTATCGGTCAGACTTCATATGCTATTAATATGTAGTAATTATTGTAGTGGATCATTTTATTTTTTAACAAGACAAAACCGATCCCTCACTTAATTTCCAGTAAAAATTGCATATTAATACTGAAAGAGAAAATGAAAAAATGGTATATTTACTATTATTTACTATTTTGCTAACAAAGTCAGGTAAAAAGACTGAAGATAAAATACCAGAGTACAACAATAAAAACTAGAAGGAATATATTTAAAAACCCACATATGTGAATGTGTAAATTGATTTTATTTCTAATTCATTTCACCCCCAGCAAGGCGATAATGCCACTAAGATGCAAATGGTTACTGAGAGTGAAAGAGAATATAAAGGCTTCAATGAGAAGAAAAGACAATAAAAGAACAGTTTTCAGGAAGACAGAAGATGGTGGTTGGCATTGCACTTAAATTTTTGAAGGTGACAGGGAAGCAAGAAATTGGAAAAGAGATTCAAAGGTAAGAAAGGAAATTAATAGAATAGAACTGATGGTTGCATTGAAATAGTTCAATGATAAAATGATGAGCGCTAGTTGCCAGTCTAGTGGCACACTTAAATATATTCCATCTTGGAACTGATCAGCATTTTCATAATACAGACAGTGTTACCTAGCAATGCAAAAGAGATAAACCTATTACAGCTAAAAGTTACATATATATGATATTATATATATATATATATATATATATATATATATATATATATATATATGTGTGTGTGTGTGTGTAGATATCTACAATAAGAATGCATCTTCTGTCATGTAACATTCTTAATTCAAGAATTAAAAACATTGAAAACATTAAAAGCAATTGTAAACTCGGAAATGACACCAACCACTGAACGAAAACTAACCACAATGTAAATCTAACACAAAATTCACTAAGAAGAGATTTCAAGACATTTTAAAAATTAAACATACCAAAAACATCTTTCTCAGAAGCAAGTAAAAGCATCAAAACAAATTTCAGTATATCATATGCAAGAATTATCCAAGCATCATCAAGCTATACACATGAAAATTTGATATCAAACAAAAAACATGTAAAACAAGAACTAACATTCTTAATTCAAGAATTAAAAAACATATTGAAAACATTAAAACCAATTGTAAACTCAGAAACAACCTCAACCACTGAACAAAAACTAACCAAAAACAATGTAAATCCAACGCAAAATTCATTAACAACAACATCTCAACTACAAAACACTCAAAAGTTCTCAAATGGAAAATTACCCAAACAACTGACAGAACAAAAATCAATCAAACCTCAACACAAAACAAAATTGAAATTCAAAAAACAGAAGAAACGAAATTAAAACAAACAGGACAACAATCCACATAAAGATAATCAGAAAAAAAAAAAAAAAAAAAAAAAAAACTTAAATGGTCAAGAACATGCAAATACTTGGTGAAGAACAAGTTCCAAAACAAGCAAAGCAAATGGTATAGAAAGTATGGAATATATGGAAATTGATAACCAAAAACACAGTTATCTTTAAGATCCACTCTCCAAAATAAAAATATTTACCACTAAAATGGACAAACAGAATACAAGCATCATACAATGGAACAGTAGTTGTTTAACCAAACTATGAGGTAATCAAACAACTCTTTACAGATTACAATCCAAACATAGTCTGCTTACAGGAGACGTTTCTTAAAGAAACTGATAACATCTCCTTTAAAGGATATGAAACTTACCACAAAATTAATAAATTAATATATCAACAATAGAGAACAGGCCAAGTGTGTGTGTGTGTGTGGGGGGGGAAATTACCTCAATATTGTTTAAAAAATCAATACCACATAAAAACTATAATTAAACACAAATCTACAAACCATGGCAGTAAAAGCGAACAATAACTATATGTTCAATTTATATTCCTCCAAAACACAGACTGAATAAGACTGAAATAGAAAGGTTAATTGGACAACTCCCCACCCCATTTCTACTAAGGGGAAATATTAATGCAGACAGCAAAATGTGGGGCTGTAGGAATCCCAGTCAAAGTGGTACAATTATAGAATCTCTATGAGAATCATCTGATCTATGTATCCTTAATAACCAAATGTGCATATACCTACATCCAGGTACCAGATCAACATCAGCCATTGATCTAACCATATGCTCCCCCCATCAATTTTTATAGAATTTCTATGGAGAGTTCATGATGACCAATGTGGTAGTGACCATTTGTCTATTTTCCTAAATATAAGCAAGCCTATGCCAGAAGAAAGGAATCCAAAATGGCAACTCCAAAAAGCTAACTGGTTAAAATCTCCAAATTAAACAGCAAAACCGCAATAAATAAAACATGGGAAATAATAAGGAAAATTAATGGAGAGCCATCACAAACTGCAACAGTCAACTTAAGCAAAATAAATGGAGACAAATGTATTGGAAAAAAGAAAGAAATAGCTGACCTAATATCAATGGAATTTCAAAGAAACTCTTCAACAAATCATTACATTCCCAAATTTCAAAAATATAAAAAACATTATGGAACAAGAAAAACTTATATTCAGTTCAAACAATAAAGAAGAATACATTATTCTCTTTATGATGACAGAACTAAAAGACTCTATAAACAAAAGTAAAAACTCTGCAACTGGTCCAGATGAAATTCATTACCAATTTTTAAAACACCTGAATTGTCAGCATAAGTGCTCTTGACACCATTATTGAGAAACTTACAAAATTCTTTATTTCTAGTGTTGAACATGCAAACATGTAGGCGATTACTGTATATACATATTTTCACACATGCATGTATACAAAAATACACACTATATATCTTGCAGGAACACGCATGCATACAAGAGGGCACTAAAAGGTTTTCAACAAAGAAAGGGTACTATTGAAGGAACATTGTCTACTTGTAATAAATAGGGAAAAAAATTTTCTTTTGACTAATTTTTGTTGATTAGTGTTTGTTAGACATTCCTCTAAGTACAATATTTGCCATAATTGAAAAATATTGATATATTTTTTTAGAATGTGTGTGTGTGGGGGATCTTGTTTGTACATAAATACAGTATCAAAATCTAACACTATAGATGCTGAACAGGTTCATGTTTTGGTCACTGGCTTGGTGACATCCGAGACAGGAGACTCCTCCATCCATATTGTTTTTGGAAGATATTAAGAAGCTCCAAGGAAACTAAATAAAGTAAAGCATCAGGAAGAGACAGGTGAGGTTTATGGGATACATAATGAGGAAGGAAGGCTTGGAAAATCTGATACTCATGAGACAGTGAGCAAGAGGAACAGGAGATAACAATACATAACATACTGAGTTTAAGTAAATGGAAAGTAGAATAGGGTTTAGGAGAAATAACAGACAAAGCTTAAGAGCTACAAGAGACAAGAAATTTTTTTTTTTTTTTTAAGCATTACGCCCTGAGCAAGGCGTGAAGCCACTAGGATGCAGGGAGTTGCAGAAGATTTGGAGCAAGAGCAGATAGAAGAAAGGATGAGGAGAGGGATAGTGGGTAGATCAAGGTAACTGGAGATGTCGATTGGCATTACATTTGAATAGTTAGAGATTATAGCTCTCAGGGAAACAGTAATTGGGAGGGGTGTTCCACAGGCGAGAGGTGCGAGGTATGAATCTATTGGAGTAGAAGAGACGGCTACATTTAAAAGTTTCTACAGTATAAGGGTGGGAGTGGGATGCCAGCCTCGTAGGGCGCTTGAATTCATGGAGTCTGGGAACCAGTGAAAGCAACTCATCGAAGCAATTACCATGAAAGTATTTGTAGAAAAGACAGAGAGAGGCGATGGCGCGTCTGTGAGAGAGTGACTGTAGACGAGTCGCCAGATCAGGGCCAATTATATTGCATATCCGTCTCTGGATCTTGTCAAGAACTCTGAGGTAAACAGAAGGTGCCCCAGACCATTGTGGAGAGCCATGATCACCTACATCCTGAGGGGACACGACACATGAAGAAGAAGAAATAAACATTATTGAGGGAGCCAAAAGTGTATACAATAATAGCGGTGTCAAAGGAATAATTATTCTTTTGACATACCATTTTTTTGCAAAACCCAAAGGTTAAAAATTGCCAAAATGTGTATAAATTATGTTTAAGTCTTGCAAGTCTTAAAATTAAAAGTTTATCGTCTATAAGACTTACAAGTAGCAAGTTTGTTTTTCCTGTCATATAAGACAGCAGTTCCCAACCAATGGGCCATGGACCGTTTGGTACTGGGATGCAAAGAAAGAATAAAAATGTTTTTATTTGTTTTTCATTTTATTGTTTATTGTGTTTCGTTAAGTGCGTAACTGACACTAATTCCTCTCCTGACCGATCTGTGGAAAAATTTTCTTGCATGAAACCAGTCCGTGACAAAAAAAGGTTTGGGTGGCCACTGATAAGAGACCCAGTTTATCATCACCAATATTAGAATTTCATAAACTTAAAAAATGCATGACAAGAAACTGGTTTTAAATTGGGCCAAAAAGAAAACATGGATGAAGTTCCAGTAACATTCAATATATCATTCAATAATTTTCTTAATATTCCCCTGAAAAATGGGATGTGGGTGGTGGTCACACATGCTACCCATCAATTATAGTAGACTCTATAGTCTGCCATTTGTTGTTTGAAAAAAAAAAAAAAAATCTTTTTAGTTACTTACTCGTTTTGTTGATGGGATCCGCAAAATGTCTTCATGGACATCGAATCCACACACTTTCCCAATATCTCGGATATAATTCAGGTATGTGCGATATTGGCTCAGCCCGTGGCTTTTCTCTGAGAACTTTTGGTCAAAATCATGGAAACAGCAAGGTAGAACAAAATAGCGAGTGTGGTAGGAAGACCTGAGAAATATGAAATATGGAATACATATAAGTAAAAAGAAAAAAAAAAGAAGACATATATACAAGAAAAAATTGTTTTTGCTATTTTAAGGAAAAAAACAACAACAAAACATTCATTGCATGACAAAGTACAAAGAAAAAAAAAATTCTGTTACTGAAGAAGTGGTTCCACACACCTCGAAACCTTCTGGTCAGAGGCCTTGCTGTTGGATGTTGTTTATTGTCTTACCCAGGATGTGGATTGTAGTTTATCATCTTATCTAGGACGTTATTTAAGGCAAGAGTGACAGAGGAAAGCAACACATAAAAAATGTTTTTTGAAAAACCAATAACATTTTTGCTCTTGAATATAAATACTTGTTACAAAATAAAATCTTTGTATTTGCCTTGATAAAGTCTCCCAGAGTATGAAATGAATTGGCTACATTTTTCTTTTGACTATGGGGGTTTTTAATTTAGGTTTGATAGCTGTCGGTGAAAATGTAGGGATGGGGTAGTCTGGGTTGGTGACAAGGGGATGGGCTGGAGTGGGAGTTTATTTATGACCAAAACCTGTAGTTGTATGTAAATGAATTTAGCTTCCTGCTAGTGGATTATATTATTAAGTGGTGGGTGATTTAACACACACACACACATATATATATATATATATATATATATATATATATATATATACACACACACACACTTTCGATTTCCACCATTAAGGTTCGGTTATAATATTAGGAGTATTGAGCTTTACCCAAAATTCTTTAAGAGGAAGATGTTAAAATAATAATTTAATTAGAGTGGGTTGCATCAATGGGTGGGAGGCTGTTACTTTTTGGTAGTTAGGGAGTGATTATAAGATCTATATTCTTATATAATCTTGAACCGGCTTCTGTGCCTACATTCTAATACTAGTTCTCTCGTTTGGTTTAATAATTTGCACTGATCATTGTATTTAATTATTCTAATTTTTCCCCTAAATATAGCCTGCATCTATATCTAAAGCTGTTAGGGGTATGTGCAAAAACTATAATTTTCTAATCTATCTCTTGGTTTAAACCCTTTTCCTTCAATTCCCAAAATTTCTTTGATAGGGCTGGTTGAAATTTTAATATAAGATTGGTAAATGAGTGCCTATGGGTACAAATTCTATATTATATATATATATATAATTATATATTTATATAACTACAAAAATAGCCATTTCAAAATGTGTGTCTTATCAAGTATGTGTGAAAATAAATGGTTTTAAAAGTCAGATGTTTCCTATGTTACAAAAGCTTAACCAATCAAAAACGTTTTCATCCTGCTATGATGAAATTTTTTTGATAGAAATAATTTTACTTTAATTATAAATTTATATGATAAAATTTAATATTAAAATTAAAACTGGCAATTTTTAAAATCCAAATTTAATCACTATTAAGTTTTGAGTTATAATTCAATTGTTTCTTCATTGAAATTACGCGATAAGACAAAAAGCTCTCCACTACTTCCTGTCCATTTTTTTTTTTCTCAGCAACGTTTTATTATTTATATCTTCTATCTGTTCTTGTATATATCTTTCATAAAAACTTTAATAAAAAATAATTAATTTAAATTATTACAATAAAATTATTTATATCTATAATTATCAAAATGTGTGTGCAGGTATGCATGTGTGTGTGTGTGTGTGTATGTGATCGGATGTTGTTTATATGTTTCCACAGTTTTCATCTGATTTCAATGGAATTTTTTTGTTTGATAGATAATTCTTTGGTGCCAGTTTTGAGTCCAAATTGGCTGGAAAAAAATTATAACTTTGAAAGTGAAAAATCAAAACAACTGATTTTTTACATTTTGCACAAAAATCAAACCCAAGATTTAATGTCTGTAGAAAACAGTGTTCAATCAATTTAGAGAGTTGAAATCTAACGCAAAAGATTACTAGAATTATAAAAAAAAATTATATTATAAATAAAAATTATTGTATATTATTATTATGACGGTCCATGGAAGAGGTTCCTTCCTTGCAAGATTGAGAGTGCAAAAACGGCCCTTTTCAGTGCCCCCCACTTCAAATTGTTACCCCCTCCCCACTTGAGGATGTGTTGCACCCAATTGTTGTTACTAATATTGATTTTTGGGTGGGCTGACCTTTAAACTTAAACTGCTCCAATTGAACGGCAAAAATTCCCAGTAATGAAAGACCCGGTCGAAGACGGGTTATACTGCAAGTATAATTTGTGCATGTGTGTACAATTTATACATAAATATATAGTTTAAAACTAACTACATTTCTTGGGAGAAATTGTCAATATCAGGGAGTGTTTACAGAGTGTGAACATCAGAATTAACACAGCATAGTGACTGTCAGCCTAATGTTGATCTCTTTAGGTCTGAAGTGGCATGTGTTCCTAAGGAGTAAGGTAAGCATGTGATCATCATTACTCCCATTCCCTATTCTACCATCTATCTATGCAACCCTGTTTGGTAGATTAAACTATTTCTCTCTGTCTCTCTTGCAGAAGAAGAATATAATGGCAAGTAGTAGGCATGGTTGTCAACCAGTCTAGGAGAAGGACAACTCAATCAATTGAAGCTGTACAAAAATTGCTAGACATAAGGTACAGATACTATATCTGTAAAACAAAAACAAAATAGATTTCAACAATTATTGATGATCCCATTGGAAAGGTATTTGTTGTAATGGAATGTCCCATACTCCCTATTGCCTGTGTGGACAGACTATATCAGTAGCTATATATGGATATACCTGGGGGCTTGCTTCGGGAATTATATGGAAATTCATCTCCAGCTAAACTAGTTGAACTCTCTGCATTCGGGCGGAGTGGAACCCAGATGAGGCTATGCTGAAGGGCAGAGTCTTGTTTGGGGTGGTTGGCAGCTACCTGACTCCGTTTTTTACGGGGTTTATGGGGAATTTTTGCCCGAGTCTATGGGCTCGGATAACCCATGTTAAATTCAGCATTGTGCCACATCTGACCATGTGGGGCGGTTGACAAATATCCTTGCTTTGAGAATTACTAGCCTGCCATTCGATTCCCTGTCTTTCAGTAGTGTATTCTCTTTTACAATAAACCTCTCTTTCTTTCATCTTCGTGTGCATTGTTGTTCCTTCACTTAAGTACCACCTTTGTCTGTTTGTAACCTCTTTAAGGATACAACAGTATTATCCGAAATGTTATTGATATCAACAGGTCATTGGACCTAGTGAAAGATAGATGATATATTGTTTACCTAGCTGCAATCACAGGAATCCATGGGGTCAGTTCATCACTATGGTTACCAATAATCCAATCATATTCTGGGAATAAATTCTCTGCTGATGGCAGGAGAGCTTTGACCTTCAAAAAAAGGAAAACAAAAGACAATTTAATATAAAAGTTGCATGACCAGCATCAAGGCATACAACATGGTGGTTAAACCTTGGACTGAGGCGGCAGCTGTATGTGTTCCAAAAGGACTCTGCTCCCTCCCGTAGAGCCCATGTGATCCATGACTAGTTTGCCAAGAATTTTCACCTAACATATGGCCTAATTCTCCTAATTTGAATCTGTTAGCTGACTATGTCTGGGGCTCATCCAGAGAGAGAGCAACCAGTGGCCCCCATAATATACAGAGGACTTGTTAAAGGTAACCACCATGAAGGAAAACCACTTGATCTGGGCATTCAGTTGGTTCTAGGCTCAATCTAGACTGTCCTTGAAGTTGAGGACAGTTTTAAGTAAAAACCTTTCTAAGATGAACCGGAATGTGCAAATTTCTTTTTTTTAATAAACAATATCCACTTACCTCTAATTTAGTATTTGGTCCATAAATATCCCAAATTTTTCTCTTTTGAATATCGATTCCAAGACCTGGATGCTGCCAAGATAAATAACAACTGCTACATTACTTGAAAAAGAAAAGATTTTCCTAAAGAAATTTAATAAATGAATAATAGGTTTTTATTAATGCTAGCATTGTCTGCCACAAAGTTGCCAGTGTGAGTCACTCAGTGAGGATTGAACTCACAACATTACAAGCTTGTTACCTATGACCTGATAATATGGTGCAAATAAATTTCATCATATCTTCAACAGCCAAACAAATTTGAGTCCTTTTTTCTGCTTGTTTTATTTACAAATTTTCATGTAATTTCGAAAGTTTCAAATATAATGAATGTGTGTAATTAAACAAAATATATTTTTTAATTCTTCAAAGTATGAATAATTTAGATACATTTTTGTGAAGTGGCTACAATTTTTTATGGCTATGAATTCTCTGTGGATCAGTAGAAATACTATGTGGATCACCAGTGATCCACCTGGATCATGTTAAGAAACTTTGCATTACAAGATAAAACCTTTGACAAAACAAAACTAATATCAAATTGTTGTAAAATATGGTAAGGGTGTAGTGAGGTTGGAGGCGCGGGGGGGGGGGACACACCTAACTGATTGCTCTCCCAACCACTACGGGGGTAATAGGCATAAAGAGAGGAAAGAGACGGGAGGTAACAAAACTGACACAACCTCAGGAGGCACAGTAACTTTAAGAACAAAATGTCAATGAGACTGATTTCACAAGGCACCCTGTCTTGCCAACTGCCCACCACTGACTGCTAGTTTTCCTGCCACTTTTATCGAATGGAGACCGTTGAAAGAAACCTGGATCTAGGTAAGTTGCAGAGACATCACATCCAAACAAGCCAAACAGTTTGGCTGTTAATGCGGAAAACCAAGATGTAGCTGGTTTTGACAGATATGTCCACATGCGATCCAGGGCTTCTTTTCCATCTGTACTGACATGTGTTCCCCACACAAATATAGGACATGTAATAAATCCATTGGTATACAATCCAAGTGAATCCTGATAATATAAAATATTAAAACTGATCCACAAAAAGAGCTCAATGCATTTATTATAATGGAGCATATAAATTACACAACAAAATCCCAAATTACCCCACATGGGGATACATCTATTTCAACCAATTTGAAGTACATTAGTCTTATTTAACTTGGTGTATGGACTGTGTTCATGTCAGAATTAGGGATTTAAAATTTAACTTTGACAGCAGTCAAAAAATTGATACAGAAGCAACCCATTTCGACACCTCAGCCAGATGAAATGCCTGAGTCGGTGGTAAGGGGAGGGTGAAAGGTATCAGTCGTAAAGGGAAGAGGTTCCACAAAATCAACCCAGATATTAACCTTATGATCCTCAATTGGGGTTATATGAAGAATGAGGTGTTGATTAGAAACACACATATATATATATATATATATCCTGGGAATAGCGTGGCAGGACAAGGTGCCCAACACTGAAGTCCTGTCTTGAGCAGGTTTGCCCAGCATGTTCACACTGCTCAGACTCCATTGGTTTGGCAATGTCAGATGGCTGCATCCCCAAAGCCCTCCTGTATGGAGAGCTGGCCACTGGAAGGAGACCTGCTGGGTGGCCACAGCTGTTGTACTACAATGTTGTAAGGCATGACATGAAAGCTGTGGACATCAACACAGAGTCCAGGGAGAGCCTGGCAGCCATACGATTCAAATGGAGAAGAACCTTGACCAAACACTTCGTCAGGGGAGGAGAAGCTGACACGAGTTGCCATGGAAAGGCGGGCCTGCAGAAAGCAAAATGACAACTCCAATAAACCAGAGACAGAACACACATGCGATCTCTGCAACAGAGATTGTCACTCCCGCATTGGCCTCTACCGTCACAGACATTGATGCTCCAGCCAAGCAGACAACTAGGATGCTACCCATGGTCAACCCTGACTGATGGAGACCTTAAATATATATATATATATATATATATATATTTAAACTTACTAATATTAATGTGTGAATATGTGGATAGTGCAACAGATAGTGTGGAAAGTGAAATCAAGTTTAAATTCTGGAATAATCTGCTGCATTCACACTAATGTTCCTCCCCCAGTTATAGGTTAAATAGCAGGGTAGACAGGTGTCATGCTATAGTACCTATTCTATTGTAATGGACTCTCCCATAGATAATAAGTAGGAGTAGCAGTGGCAAGTCTGGCAGAATGGTGTTGAGCGTGTCAGTCGAGATTCGGACATTTGAAGTACCAACCATCACAACTAGATTGCTGCGCCATTGACTCTTATTTTCCAAGTTCCTAATGTTTTGTACGTCGGACCTAATTTAGGACGACTTATTAGAAATACAAACCACCACTGTGAAAATACTCCACAACAACAGGGATCTCTAGCCTTGGGTGGTAATCAAAGAGAAAGACTATTATGAATTCATAACTGAGTAGTAGGCAATGGTAAACCACTCTAATATATTTCTCCAAGAATGCAAGGAAAATCACCGATAATAAAGAAAAGGAATCTGTGGAGGGTTGTAAATGCCTAAATCGTGAAAGCACGCGAGATTAAAAGATGAATTCACTTTAATCAATTATCATTAATTAACAGCTAATATCAAGCAACTATATTTTGTATGTTTTTGTAGAGTAATTGGCCATTGTTAAATGTAATTAGCAGAACTGCCCAACAAGCAGAATTGAAAAAGTTTGCAATAAACAATAAGAAAAGAAAGAAAAGAACAGGGCAAAAATAATAATACTAAACAAACATATATATATATATATATATATATATATATATATATATATATATATATATATATATATATATGCAAGACAAAAATAGGCAAAACAACAATAATGAGGCAAAAAGTTCACAAACTAAGAATGGTGTTAACACACAAAAGGGATACAGACAAGTAGCATTGCAACTTCAAGACAAGAAAGAACAAGAATATGATGGATGAGACTGAGAAGTGGCCTATCTTATTGTCTAGTAAGAAATCCCAGCATGCATCTGTATGCTTTGTCTGTAAGCTTGTGGTGGGGGATGTTTTTGCTGTCATTTCCATGTTATTGCAACCAACAGTTTTACTCGAGTGGACATAAAATCGATTCATTTTGAAATTGCTTTTAGTTCATTTTTTTTTTTTTTTACTTCAACAAAAATAATTTTGCTTCCAAAAGTGATGTGAAAGATGTTCTAGAATTTCACTTCTTTGACCGGGAATTGGCTAGAATATATGTTGCGAGAAATGTCTTTGGCCTGCAAAACTCTTGTCATACATACAAGTATAAATTAATAAGTGTTCCAAAATAGGAATTCTCACTAGAATTTGGAAATGTCAAAAAAGAAGCCATAAACTGCTTTATTTAAGTGTAAAAGTGAAAGTCCTTGACTTAATAAAGAAAGAAAAAAAAATAAAAGAAAAGTATACTGAGGTTGTTAAGATCTCTGGGGAGAAGGAATCTTCTGTCACATAACTTTTATAACTATTTCTTTTTTTTTTTTTTTTTACAGTAAAGTTCAGCCTGTACAAGGCCCAAGGGCCACTTGAGGTAGATGGTTACACTAAAGAGTAGTTTATACAGATAGGTGGGGAAGTTAACAGTTAACTTTAAATTTGAACAGGTTAAGATTGCAATGATCAGGGATACAGCCTCTTGGGAATCTCTTCCACAGAGCAGTGATTGCGGTCTAAAGAAAGTGAATAAGAATGAAGAATACTATATACTTGTCAATTCCTTGGCCACAGAAATGAGTGAGGGGGAAAATAATATCTAGGGCTGTAAGCCTTGACATCTTTTGGTCTTTCACTGAGTTGTAGCCTTTTTTCTCTTTTTTTTTTTTTTTTCTCTCCACTGCTTCTTTCTAATATTATCAATCACAATGTTTGGTACTCTAAAATCAATTTAACAACAGAGAAAAAAAAAATCACCACTCTCTCCTTTTTATATGAATATTACCCACAATGCTTTGGTCCTTCTCCATAAAAACTCCCTTATCATTTTTTCTTTGATGGCATTCAGGTAAGTGACATTTTTCATTTATTCAAATCACAATTCTAATTAATCTCTTATTGTGCCTAATAAGATCTACGGTAACAACAAATCTTCTATTAGTGTCATAACTTTTTTTTTACAGTATATTGTTATAATTATTCTACTTTATTATTAGTTATTGTTGTTAATCTAGTTAGATCCAAACTTGATTGTAGTTGCTTCATTTATGGTGCTGCAAAAAATACGTGAAGGAACTTGATACAATTCACCATCAAGGACTATACTTCATCCTAGAAACTTTTAGAACATCTCTGGTGGAAAGTCTGTATACTGAAGCCAACGACATGCTACCACCACTAGGACAGCAGAAATTAGCCTTACAATATTATACCAAATTATATTCCTGTTGAATAATCCAGCATTCAACAGTATTTCCCCCGCCCAAAAAAAAGCACACTCATCAAACCTATTGGCATTTACATGGAAAACATTAATGAATCACAAATAGTCACTACCCAAACCCTTGTATCCCCGCTACCCTGGGAAAAAACACCTTGGCTAACAAAACAGCCAACAGTTTTCCTAAACCTTGACAAACACCCTAAAACTAACACCTGTCCATCTAGCTTTCAGAAGAAATTGATATTTTAAAGGAGCACCAAAATTATAAGCACCATTTATATTGATGATACAAAAAACATTGATGAAGATGGGCAGGTGTTCTTGATGACATAATCAAAAACGTCTACCTGACAAATCCTCCCTTTTTAGTGCTATAGTTATAGCCATAGACTTTAGATGTCATAAAAAAATAAGCCAGTCAAATTCATAGTTTTCTCAGCCTCACTATTCATACTTACATCACTGAGAAACAAAAACAATCCCTTAATAGTTAAATTATATATATATATATATATATATATATATAAAATATTATATGAAAAGATTACTTAACTTTTAAATATCAATTTTATCCCAACTTTGAAGTTTCTTGGTAAAATTTACAGTCTTCAGGGGTTGTGGCTTTAAATGGTGTATATATATATATATATATATATGAAAATTTCTCCGATTTAACCAGTAGAGAAGACAATATTTATGAATAAATGGGGAAAAAACCTGGGTGTAGGTTAATATTTGGGTACTGTTCTATGGCAGTACTCTCTAGAATTTTCCTTCTGAGTGAGTTATTTTCTTTTTTTATGAGTGTAGCATTTTTAAAATCAAAATTATGGTTGAATTTATTTCTATGTATGACTAGTGCATTAGCTAAGTTGTTTTTTGTGAGGTCTCTTTTGTGCTCATAAATGCGTTTTTTTAAACTTCTACTTGTTTCTCCAATATATTGGGATGAACAGTTTTGGCAATTTATTTTATAAATGCCTGCTTCAGATATATTTTTTTCCCTATTTCACCTTTCTTAACAAAATTACTGCTCTCACAAACAAATCTACACAACAGATTCATAAAAATCAAAAGAAAATGGTTGGATACATCAACACAGATATAATGACAATATTCTCCACATGTGATATATACTGTCGTTATTTTCAGTTAACAATATAAAAATAGTGTTTCTCTATATTCCAGTTGCTAGTAACATTCTGTTATTGTTTTTATTAGTTACCTTGTTAAATTATATTCATTTTGTATTTTGCTTTGATAAAGTTCACATTGGATGAAATGCGTCAGCAATTACTAGTTTTCCTATTGTCATTTTTATTCATAAATATATATATATATATATATATATATATATATATATATATATATATATATATATATACATACATACATACATACATACATACATATGCACGCACACACAAATTGTGTATCAAAATACTTTTTACAAACTTTGGGGTTGGTTTAAACCCCACCTCCCCGGTCCAAGAAAAAAGGGAGATAATTGTAATTGCATCTTTTTTGTTGATTTTTAATTATAGAAAATTTTAAATGCTGCCCTCACAGATTCAAGTGGCTTTGTGTGTGCAACAAGATAAAAAAAAGATGAATTATTGTTAATTTTGCACAGATTTGAATAAATTAAGTAGAGTTCCAATGTTAATGCTTTTGAATTGTTCAAGCATCTACTTACGCCTTCTGATGTGAGAAGATGAACCAGTAGTCCATTGCCACAACCCAAGTCCACAAAACTTTGTTTTGCCAAACCAGTTTCGTGTCTTTCTGCTTCCCATATGAGCTTGAAAAGAGAAAAAGAAAAAAAATTATCAATTTAAACAATACTAACAAATGTATTTGAAATACTGCTGTGTGTCATTATTATTGTTTTCACAAATAATTTCATTTGCTACATTTTTTCATAATAATGTTCACCATGTACAAGGCCCAAGAGCCACTCAAGGTAGTGGGTTACAGAACAAGAGGCACAGTTTATGGGGATATGTGGGGAAGATAACTGTTAACCCTACTTTTTACAAGATTATAGTGATTGAAGAAGCAACATCATGGGAGTCAGTACACAAAGATGGAAGTCCATAGGAAGAAACTGTTTGAGTTTCACAAATGGAACACGAAGGGAATGGTAGTGTTTCACTACAATTTGCGTGGCATGGCGGGTCTTAGCTGTAAAGGTTAGAACTGGAGGAACGTTGTTCATTTGAACATTTACCATAGAAATAGCGATAGAGAAGTGAGAGGCTTGACATGTTTCATTGTGTATATGTGTGTGATGAGTTCTTTGGTAACTGGCATGTTTGTCTAAAAATAAATACATCTAAATTCACCTTCATCCCTGGCTTAGGGGTAAAATCTCTGACTAATACAAAATCAGTTGGGTTTTGATCTTGGCTTGAGGCAATCGGATGTCTAGCCACACTGATGAGCTGTGAAACGGTCTATCTGTGGATGAGAATATATATATATATATATATATATATATATATATATATATATATATATATATATATATATATATATATATTTTCATTCATACATATTTCAATATTTCATTAAATAATATAGACAAGTGTTGTCTATTTATTTTATGTAAATTCTTTTCATAATGTCTGATAAGCTTAATAACATTATCATTAAACGAAGAAAGAAAATCACAATATTGATCCAGAAAGCTTAGATTGGATTAAAAATATGGATCAATATTATATATATATATATATATATTTGTTTTGCTTTTTTCCTTTGTATTGAGAAACCTAGGGACTGCTAACCAATTTCATTATGTACTGTACAATGATTTTTAATTTGATTGTGCTAACTCAGGAATTCAGGAGTCTATCACGTGAACCATCACATGTTGAGAAGGGCTTGTAGGCTTGGCTTTGTTAGGTTTGTTATATGGCATATCAACTTCAATGGGTTATTTAATGCTGACAAGATTTTTATTGTTGGTAATAATTTTTTCTTCAAAAATTTATTGCTGGTAATGTTTTTTACAAAAATGTATTGCTGGTATTAAAACCTATTTTTAAACTTTCATAGTGTTTTAACTCCAGTTTGGGAGTTAACTATTTGCCCATAGCTAGGACCCTAACAGGTGCTACCACCTGGGATCAGGGTGGACTGGGGAACACCAGCAATTAAGAGGTGGTTCCACACTCTTCAAAGCCTCTTGATCAGAGATTTTGCTGTTAGCTGTAGTTTATCACCTTACCCAGGATGTGGATGTAGTTTATTGTCATACCCATGTTCGGAAGGGGTTGTAGTGCTGGAAAATAATTTGTTAGCCACAAGGATGTGTAAACACTTTTGAACTTTAATGAGATTGAAAAGTGAAGACAGGGCTGCTTTTGCCCATATATAGTAGCAGAAGTCCATTTTCAGCCTGATCTGGCTCAGATAGCAGGAGGAGTTGGTTACTTACTAGATTGGTACAGATAACAGGGCATTTTACCAGCATCTTTGAGGTGGAGTTGGTTTGGTTTGGTTTGTTTTATGGCATATCAACACCTCAATGGGTTATTTAATGCTGACAAAATTTTTATTGCTGCTAATATTTTGTTTTGTCAAAAATCTGTTTCTGGTAATATTTTTTTCCTCAAAAATGTATAGCTGGTAATATTTTTTGTTTTCAAAAACATTGTTGGTAATAGTTTTTTTTTCCTTCAAAAGTTTATCTCTGGTAATAATTTTTTACAAAGTATTTCTGGTATTAAAACCTATTTTTACACTTTCATAATGCTTTTTACCTCAGTTTAGGGGTTAACTATTTGCCGTAACAGGTGCAACCACCCTGGGTCAGGGTGGATCTGGGAAGACCAGCAATTAAGAGGTGGTTCCACACTCATCAAAACCTCTTGATCAGAGGCCTTGCTGTTGGACGCAGTTTATCATCTTACCCTGGATGTGGATGTAGTTTATCATCATACCCAGGAATTCTTTGAGGGTGGGTTTGAATTCCTAATAGTTGCTCAAGGCACAGACCTCCCTGAGAAAAAACCTGTTCATCACAAGAGGCAAAAATTCAGGGTCCACTCGGTGATGATGGATTCAAGGGAAATAAATATCTCTCGTGTTCCTTCTTCCCTCAATCCTGCTATGGTGACCCTGATGCTTCCTGGTATGAAGGATCATAAAATATGGTATATAAGGGTTATATAATCAACAAAGATTCCATATCATCCAAATAATGGACACCTGATGATGACCAAATGGTACTTGGTCGAAACACTGTGTCTATAACAACATCAAGATGAGACTAATAGTTTGGAACAATAGAAGTATATTGACAATTACTCCTATCAAAAATTAAATACCCAAATTATCAAAAAGTGGTATGAACTCTGTTACAGTTTTTTGGGTATATGTACTAGTGAGCCAAAATGAGCTGACTCATTTTATAGTTCACCAATAGAAGGGTTAACCAATCAGAAAGCTCAAAATATTCAATCCGACATGTATAAAGGCAGCCATTTTGTTTTTTCTCCCAAAATATCTTCACTGCCAACCGGATATCGAAGACTTAAAGAATTAACATCCTCTACTTTCTCTGAATCTTCACTGCCAACCTCTGATATTGAAGACATTACGGACTTCATTGGATTCCATATTCAGAGACTATGGCAAACATGGTCAACAAACTCACCATAATAACCAAATGTCAAAATCATCTGACATTGAATATGAAGGCTCCAAAAATACACCACTGATGAGATGATGGTGTAGTGAAGATAGAATTTGGTTAGACATGTTTTACTGTTATACAGGGTTGTGAGTTCTATCCCTGGATCAGGAACGAATAATAATGGACAATGCAGAGTGAAAATGACAATAATCAAAAGATATCCCTATCAATGGAAACCAGATGATGACCGAAATGTTGAGTATCATTGTTTGATATTCCAGCTGCTCAGCAGTCAACAGGAGGGCTCTCCAGAGGGTTATAGATGTTGCTCAGAAAATAATCAGCTCTTTACTGCCTTCCTTGGAGGATATTTTCAATTCTTGCCATTGCAGCAGAGTAGAAAACTTCATGAAAGATGGCACGTATCCATGGTATCAAATGTCTGATTTTTCCACCGAGGTTGACAGTTTATATCCATTGGTTCTAGGACAAATCTCTTGAGAGACAGCTTTTATCCTTGGACCCTGTATAAAATGAATGCTGCTACACACTAGCAATTTTAAATGTGTGTGTTTGTTTTCCTTCTTTCTTTTGCATTGGGGTACCCAGGGACTACTAACCAATTTCATTGTACAAGGTGATCCAAAAGTCTTGTCACCCCCCCCCCCCATAATATAATTTTCTCTTTCAACAATCTGAGGGGTATTATCAAAGAAAAAGTGTCACATGAAGGATACCAGAATACTCATCAGTTGAAGGCCACCATTCGGAGAGCCTTTGCAACAATCCTGCAAGAAAGGTGACAAATATTGACTATGCAGAACCTACTGAGACAGTTTGTATTGAGCCTTGCAGATGACCTATCACTGCAGATTCAATACCAATGCTACAATTCTCCTACATCATCTAGAAAATACTGATAATGAGTTAAGATTTTTCTAGGGTCCAGCATCATTAGCAGCATTTTCTAGATGATGTAGGAGAACTGTGGCATTGGCTTATGAATTCAGTTCTTGAGGCTTCTAAAACTGAATTCATACGCTTCAACCAGCAATGCACAGCAGATACTATACTTTATTTTGCTTCCGTGGTATGTAAAAGAATCAACAGATTTTATTAGAAACTGTCTCAGGTTAATCAATAAAATCTGTGTTAACCATGTTTGCTGTAGTCTTTGAATATAGAATCCAGTGAAGTACATAATGTGTTCAATATCAGAGGTTGGCAGTGAAGATTCGGAGAAAGTAGTGGCTGTTAAGTAATTCTTTAAGTCTTTGATATCAGAGGTTGGCAGTGAAGATATTTTAGGAGAAAAAACAAAATGGCTGCCTTTATACACATCGGATTGAATATTTTGAGCTTTCTGATTGGTTAACCATTCTCTTGGTGGACTATAAAATGAGTCAGCTCATTTTGGTTGGCTCACTCGTACATACATATATCCAAAAAACTGTAACACCACCTCATTTTTGGGTATATTATGGAATCTCCTTTCAAAATATTAGTAAAGTCAATATTCATATGGAACAAATACTTTAGTATTCAGAAATTTTTTTTTTTTTTAGCATTCATAAAATAATAATTTTTTTTTTTTTAGTATTCATAAAATAATTAATTTTTTTTAATATTCGGCAGCTGAAAAACTGTAACAATCTGCACAGTGAGAAAAATAAGAAATAAATAGAACAACAACATCTTTTATAATCAAGATGAGAAATAATAAGTGTAATATACTGGTTTGCAACCAAGAGATGTGTAATTGTAACGAGTTATAACAGGTGAAAAATTCCACATATATTTTAATTTATATGAGATGATTTTAAAAACTGTGGGTACAACATCCAATGTAGTTAAGGAAGGGAATATAAGAATGAAAGCAATTTATATTTAACCCTAGAACACTAACCATGGGTATATAGTACCCAGCACAAATTTTCCTATTTTTAATTACAATTTTCAGTACCTGATTTTCTTACCTAAATAATGTTTTTCAGTTCCTATTAATGTTAACTCAAAGTACAAAGTTTGAAGTGCCTGCCTGTAAAATATTTCAAATAAAAATTTATATTTAATATTTTTTTTTTTTATATTTTCAAAATCGGGTATGATATACCCATGGTTAGTAGTGGTGTAACTTTAATTGATGGTCAGTGTTCTAGGGTTAAAAATGAAAAAAAGAAAAAATTAAAATGAGATGTTCTGATGTCCCAAGGTCAGGCAGGGTTAAATGTGACTGGAAAGAAAAATGAGCATATTGCTTTCTCTAAATGCAAAGTTATTTATTTAGTTTAATATTAAATAAGTCGTAAAAAAGAAGAACAATTCAGAGTAGCAATTTAGGGGGTATTTTAAATTTAATGCAGAGTAACAATTTGGAGGGGTATTTTACATTTAATGCAAAGTAACAATTTGGGGTGGGGAGTGTAGTAAAAAGAATTAATAAGAAATAAAACTAATAATATATTAAGAGGTTTGTAATAAAAAGCAAAAACAAGATGGTGTAAAACTAGGAACAAAATATTAATAGATGTATTTTTTTTAATCCTTTCACTCCAAGTAAGGCAATAAAGCCACTAAGATGTAAGGGGTAACTGAGTGTTAGAGAGTATGAGGAAAAAAACACTATTAAGGAGAGAGACTGATAAAAGAACAGAAATTAAGAAGACAGAAGATAACAATTGACATTGCATTTAAATTCTTGAAGACCAAAGTTGAATAGGAGTACAAAACTGGAAGAGAGTTCTCCAAGCAAGAAGTGTGAGAGAAGAAACTGTTAGAATAGAACTTATGGTGACAACTAGCCATTTCAACTGTAAAATGATGAGGCCTAGTTTCCAATCTAGTACTGCACTTCAATTCATAAATTTGTCATAAAAAGCAATGTTAATAAAAAGAAAATTAAGTAAAAAATAAAGTGGCATTTCAATATAACATGTCAATTTGCAAATCATCATCTATGAAAAGAAAAATGTTCAGAATTCAGATTTTTTTTTTTTTGACTTCTTAAAATCCTCCGACTAAATGTCATTTGATAAAACATACCAGGAGAAAAGTGGCAATGGAAATGTCTTCATAGACAAATTTTTGTGGATCTGTTCTTTCAGGCCATTTCTGCAAAAAAAAATGAAAATGAAAGTTATAGCATTTAAGCAGATTCTTTACTGAATTTCATCATGGTAGATGGAACAGGATTTTGGTGGGAAGGAGAAGAAATTTAATATTCATTTGAGATAAACATGGCCAGAGAGCATAAAGTACATTGCAAAAATACCTACTTATTCTGCTTGTTTATTTTCCAATGATGTATCATGAGATTTCCACAAACCTAACTTACAGATTTTATCATGGTAAAAGTTGGATAGTGTAATTTTTTGCAAAAGGTAACATGTTATAAAGTTGGATTTTCTTCATATTTTATCAGTCCAGAATTAGATGTTTATCTTGTATACTGAGAGCTACTCTACCTGTATTGCTTGTAATTTATCAGCTTGAAATTAAAACTAAAAGCTCCAAGAAAGAGTTTTTATTACTAAAATTCATTTTAAACATTAGGCATCGCATTTTTGTGGAGGCTCTCTCTCTATATATATATATATATATATATATATATATATATATATAATAAATTATTTATTTATAATCTAATAAATTATTTCTTATAATCTGACATTATCTCACACACACATATATATATATATATATATATATATATATATATATTATATTTTGTGAATAAACGTTTTAGTGGTTATTTATATTTTAAACAGCTGGTAAACAAAAATAAAAAAAATAAAAAAATTGAGATGTCTATGTGAATTCGTTTATTTGTAATTAATATATATGTAATTATGCGCGTGTGTGTGTGTGTGTGTGTGTGTGTATGCATATACATTGCATTTTATATATGTGGATTATTATATATAACTATGACACCTTATTTTACACTCTAAACTTTCATTTAACAATAAGCAATTCAGATTTACCTCCCTTAACTACAACTTCCTGTTGAGACGTAATGGTCAGAAAGCAAGAATTCCGTTTTTCTAATTATTACAAGTAACAAAATCCAAGAAAACTAACAGAAAAGAAAAGAAATAAAAAACATTGTATTAGCAACCTGATGTGTTAATATCTCAAGCTACCATAACAACTGAATCTCTCATCAATAAACGTAGAAACTAGTTTATCAAGAAAGTCAGATTTTGTTTTTGATATAAAGGTAATTTAATCATTTTATATTGTACAATAAAATAAAACACAAAAATGATAATAGCCTTGTCAGTTACATTTGGACATAGCAAACTTTTGGCAGTAATTAAAACTCCTTTCTCTTATTTAAACAATTTATTTTATTTAGAGGAGGAGGATCCAGTACCAAAATTCAAGACATTATAAATACGACTAAAGAAATTTCATGATACCACCACCCTGTCTGGAAATTTGATATGAAAACATTTTGGGGCAATTTCAGAGAAACACTAGCTAGATTTTTAATTGGTTGTATTCTCTTGCCCAATATGCCTGTGTTATGGAGATGAAGTTCTTGCAGCTGGTGTACCTGCAACAATTCTTTAATTAAACAAACTCAGAGGTGTATAAAGTGAGGTACTTGACCCATGGCTGGTGGATAATGTCAGTTTGGTTCTGAAATTTCAGGAAGTACCCATGTACTAAAATGGTGTTGCCAAATGGTGTTTCACCAATTTTGACTAAGTACCTATTTACTAATTTCCTGGTACCCACTTAAATTTTTATTATTTTGATAAAGTTCTTGGAACAGAGGTGTCACATCAAAAGTGCCTGGTTTAATGCCAAAGTAGTGGATCCTTTTCTACCTGGGTGAAATATCATCATTTTCTGTGTTCTCTAGTAATGCAAATAAGTCTGCATATGTTTGTGGTCATAACAGTTCTTGAAATGGTTTCAAATATATGATTGTGCCTCTGAAAGTGGGGTGCTTGTTAAGGTGTCATCTTTTCTTTTACCCAGTTTCACCAACACTCTTTTACATAGATAACTTTGTTCCCCCTTTTTTTCCTTTTTTTAAAATTATTTGTGTGATGAATTTATTTCCTTTATTTTGATTGATAAACAAAAATTAAAAACATGAAACATTTTAGTACACATGTACTAAAATTTTCAGTACACATGTACTCAGTCCTGGGTATGATGATAAAGCACGCCCAGCAGCAAGGCTTCTATTTGGAAGATTGGAAATTTTAAGGAGTGTAGAACCACCTCTTAATTGCTGTCGTTCCAAGATCCACCCTGACCCAGGGTGGTAGTACTTGTTGGAGTTCCAGCTATGGTTAAATAGTGAACCTCCACAAACGAAACACTATGAAAGTATAAAGATACATTTTCATAGTAAAAATGCCAGCAATACAATTTTATATAAAATATGACTAACAATACCTATTTTATAGCAAAATGACCAACAATACATTTTATAGTAGAATTACCAACAATTCGTTATAGCAAAATGACCATCAATACATTTTATCTGTAGTTGAAGGCACACAGTTGCGTTCAAAATATATTTAGTTGAAGCCATAAAATTGTGTTCAAAATATTTAGATTTCTGCATTAAATAACCGATAGAGGCTGACATACTGTTAAACAAAATCAACCAACCTGCATGTAATTTAAAAATTTTAATAGACACAACTGCAGCACTAACCCGTACATTATCATAATGGCACATCCCCTGATCACGGATTTATTGTATTTTAAATTACTTTGTGTTTTTAATCTTTAATAACAGATGAAGGATAGACTCTTTTGATGTACAATATTTACATTATTCGGACTATTCTTTGTTGCCATATTTATTACAACGTTTTGGCCATTGTACACGCAGGCCTTCTTCATGTGTCCTTGAGGAAATCTGTGTATGAATTTCTGGGTATTATAAGGACACATGGCACAGTGGATAAAGGTGTTGGTTAGATCCAGTGACAGGACCCAAAGAGTGTGAGTCCAATACTCAGTTAAGGCAGTGGAGAACTTGAAGAGGAGAATTAACAGGAGATAACTGATAACTGACATCCATTAAACATGGCACGTGAAACTAGAACAGTCTACCCCAGTGAGCAAAATAAAGGGTTCAGTTCGACATTCCAACCACCTGAAGAAGGCCGGAGCGTACAATGGCCAAAATGTTGTGATAAAAATTTCGACAAAGATGAGGACAATAGTCCGAATAATGTAAATAGTATACATAATACCTCATATCAGAAATATAGACGAAATTTTGATGTTTTTAGAAGAAACAAAATAACTAACCCGAATGAGATCAGGTCCATATTTGGCTTTTAATTCATTATAGAGTCTGTTATAGGCATCAACAGAAACTGTCCGAAGAGATGTAGTCTCAGTTCGTAAATTATCCTCACCTGCCCAGCGGCTAAGTTTAACCAACAGTTGTGCTTGTAGCCACTGGTAGGTCATTGTACTAAGCAAATTTTTTTCTTGTTTCTGGTGAACATTCAAAACGATTCTGTTTAAAAAAAAAAAAAAAAAATAACGACAATAATGAAATTTGGAAAAAAAAAAAAACATGAACAATACAAGGGAGACAACTCTTGATAAATCTTTTTTTTAACGGTTATACTTGATTTAGTTAATATAAGTAAATACTTATTACAATATTCCGAAGTGAATCAGGAATATGAATAATATAAGGGAGACAACTCTTGGTAAATTTTTATTTTTTGTATATTTTATTTTTTAGGTTTATAACTTTTGCAAATGTTTAACATTTGATTAACTGCAGTAGAAATTTTTGTCCACAGAACTGTAAAGATAGAATTTCCTGTGATCCGCAGTTTATAGTGAAATAAACAGAAAGATTGATAGAAATTTTTTTTTTAACTTTTAATTTTTATTCATGTTTTCATCAGGATATTATTTGTCAACATAAATGACAAAGAAAATTTGTAGTTGGTAAAGGATAAAATATGAAAATTGAAGAAACTTCACCATTTGAATAAAAGCAAGAAGCGAGATGTATAATAAGATTTTGATGTATTTACATTTTTCTTTCACAAAAGGTAAAATTGATTTTTAACATTAATTCTTTATGCATTTCAAAAGGATAAGATTTTCGGCAAACTTGGACCATCGTGCCTACAAAAAGCCAGAGTGTCATGAGGATAGTTTTTCCCTTGACACTGCTATTATTTTAACTACCTTCACTCCTCAGCAATATTTATTGTTTTAAAAAGTGACAATTATAATTGTAATAAAACCTAAACATATGATGAAAGTGAAATTATACATTTTTTGTTCTGGAGAATTTAGAACAAAAATATTAAAGACTGTTAGATTGTTTATTTACAATAATTTTATATTTACAACATTCTAAAAACTAATAAAATTAAAACAAATGCAATATTTATTATTTACCAATTTATAAAGAAATAAATATGAAAATAATTAATAAATTATTAAGGTATATGAACTAACTATAAGGAGATCCTTATTATTTACCAGTTTATAAAGTTTGAATTGATTGGCAATTAGCTGATTTTTTGCCACCCATTCCAATAAAATATATAATAGTGTGAATAAACAATCTAATAAATAATGTTTATTATTTTTGTTGTTAATTCTCAAGAACAAAGAAAATGTACAAGTTCATTTTCATATCTTTAGACATTCTTCAAATTCTAATCTTCGCTTTTTAAAACAATAAACATTGCTGAGGAGTGAAAGTAGTTAAAATACTAGCAGTGTCAAAGGAAAAAACCATCTTTTAGATACTCCATTTTTTTTTCTGGGCATGAAAGCCCAAATTTGCCAGATTTTCAATTTGAAAATGCCTTGCTAAAGGTTTTCTTTTTTAATTTTTTTTCTTTTTTAAACAAATCTTCCCTCTACAAGGTCACTCAAAATAGAGAGTTACAGAAAGCTTTTGTTGTTGTGAGTGGTAAGTGTAAGGAGTGCAGTTTATGCAAATATGCAAGAAGATAACAGTTAACCCTAGACTTGAAGTGGTTAAGATCGTAGGGGTCGGGAAAACTTCTCCCTGGAATTCTGTTCCATAAAAATAGCTGTTCTTGGGAAGAAGCTATCCAAGTTATTCCTTGCTAAAGGAATACAAAGGGAATGATGGTGGTTCACCTCAGAGTATGCAGCTTAGCATGTCTCAGGTCGGAGTGTAGAGTTGGAGGAACCAAGTAACATAGCTTATTTTAACATTTTCCATGGAAATAGTGATAAGGAAGCAAGAGGCTTGCAGCATTTTGTCTGTGAGAAAGAGATTTGCAAAAAGATTTTTGATATATAAATATACCTTCAATTACTTTTACTATAAAAATGTGTTGGAAATTATTTTTTTCAATTTTTTTTCTGAATGCAAATTTATTTCAAATGTAAAAGGAAAACTAAAACAGGCAACTAAATATTAAATAGTTTCCTTACAGCAGCCGATTTAACAAAAATAAGACAAATGCTGGGGAATTAATAATTCTAGTTGACATGATTTTTAACTGCTAAGAATATTAGGACAGAAAGTGAAAACAATAAAATGAAGGAAACCTAGTCATAAAATAATAGTAATTATGAAATTGATTCTTCTGTAAATAAATAAAGAATATCTTACAACTGACCTATTTTGCTGTTCTGATTCTTGAAATTTGAAACTGTAAAATATTTCATTGCATGTTGAGGATTTTTTCCCATGTTTGTCAAACCGGATTAGAGGGTAAAATTTGAATTCTTTTTTGAGTCTGTCTAGAAAAAAAGAAGAAAAATGAGGGAGGGGGTCAGGATTGTGAGGAAAGAAAAAATCATGATCAGAAAAGTGAAAATAAAAAATACAAAAAAATTTTCCATCACCCACCTGTATAGTAAATATTCAAAAACTTAATAAAACTGTTTGGTAAAAGTTTGTTACTGATTCATAAACTGACTTTATGATGTAGTAAAAAATACCAAATGGAGGTAACATATAACACTGACTTATGCAGAGGCTGCTGTTGCTACCATATTAAATAACAAACTGAAGTAAACTTGACCATTGAAAACTATATATATATATATATATATATATATATATATATATATTTTTCATAATTTTCTGCAGAGTACAGAATTTTATTATAGCAATAAAAAAGGTTAGACTTATTTTACTTTTCATGATTAAAAGAAAAGCAAAAAATAAAACAAAGTCGACTGGTTTTGCCCTCAGTCAACAGAACTGGATCAAGGGATTATATATTGCAATAAAAATAATACATAAAAACGATATGTAATATTAATGAAGATGGAATACAGTTTAAATTGAAATCATGTTATGTCCTCTATTTACAGAGGGAGGGTGGTTTGGACTGAACGCAAATTATTTCCAACACTTTTATCTGCAATATAGAGTGAACACGACTCAAGATATTAAACGAGTCAATGCTAAAGTTAGCAGCACAATTTGGTTTTTTAGTAAGATACTCCACAATGCAGGAACCATCTATGTTCTGAAGAACATCCTTTAGTTTGAATGTTCCATTCTTGATTTTTCTATGTATATGCTGCTGTATTCTAGCATTTAAACGTTCAGTTGTTCGACCTATGTAGTCGGCACTGCAACTACATTTAAAATGATAAATAACATTTAATTAGGACTTAACTTGATTTCAATTTAAATTGTATTCTGCCTACATTACATATCGTTTTTATGTTTTATTTTTTTGCAATATAAAATCCCTCAATCCAGCTCTGTTGAATGAGGGCAAAACCGGTTGGCTGTGTTTGTTTTATTTTTCACTTTTCTTTTTAATCATGAAAAGTAAAATAAGTCTAACTTTTTTATTGCTATATTTATAAGTCTACCATTTGTCCTTTCTTTGAATATTGTTGTCACATATGGTCTGGTGCTCCTGCTATATATTTAGGGATTCTTGATAATTAATAAAATAGCAAAATATTTATTTTCAATAATGTTAATTACAAACTCCAATCTCGTGACTCTCGGAAATGGATCCCACCAATCTGGTGCATATAGAACGGAATAAATATCAATTTTGGAAATATGTTTACATTTTAAAACAATGGAAAATGCGTAGAAAAAATATAAACAATCAGCCTCACAATATTTTAGAAATTAATAAAAAGATTTTCATACAATTTTCTGTATTTAACTCGTTATTAAATTTGAAAGATTACCCCGTCAGAGGTAGATGAAAAGGAAAGAGTTCAATCAATTCCTTACCAAATGTGATGACTTCTCTTAGAGTTAAATTATGATTTAATTGTTTAGGAAGCAGATCTCGAACAATCACCAATAGACGATGACCAGAGTCCGACAAAGAATTTAAATCGTCGAAAGTAATGTCTCTTTGACAAGATTCCGGAATAAAAAGAGAATACTGTTGATGGTCATCGGCTTCGATTTGTCCACCGTTATTGTCATCATTTGGTCTTAAATCTTCACCACCGAATTTTTTATTCATGTCGTCTAAAAAATGTTGGACAGCAGAGTCAGTTTCTGGATATTCATAAGTAAGGATGGACAGTAGCCGTGTTCCAACAAGCCGACGATTTGCCACATGTGGTTTGTTTATCCAAATCAATAAAGCTGCAAGAAAACCATCCAAACATTTAGCTGACGTTATTTGGGAGACTTGTTGGTCAATATATCCCTTGTTGTTATTACATTTTACTTGTTCTGTCATGGTTTTAAATTTTAAGAAGGCAAATGGTTAAAAAATATGGTTTAAACGAGAAACTTGACTTTTTAAACGGTCATAAACATACGGGCGTCGCCATATTGGATAAGGGACATAACTCTTAAGAACTTTAACAAAAACTACGGAAGTTTCGTATTCAATTCACACTCAAGCGTATATTTTAAAATTAAAAACATTATCACATTGAAATAAAAATGCATATACATTGTTCAAGTTTCGGCTTTACAGAAAATATCTGCTGTAGTGTGGCAGCCTAAAAGAAGAGATAGATAGATAGGAAAGATATGTTTAAGCATTTTTCTTTTACGACCCTTTCCCCACAAACGAAACATCGCGAGCCTCTCGCTGTTCTATCGTTATTTCCATGGCATATGCTCTGACAATCTACATTTCTTAGTCTTACCACAGGAGTCCACTGTTGGCAGGAAGTGGGGTAAACTTTCTCCTCATTTTAGGCGGGAGAAGGCACACGGTCTCTGCAGCAGCATCTTCCTTATTATTGCATCAAGAGAGGTGGAGTCGATGTAATCGACGCCAGCATCACAGTAGTTGAGGGGATTGGGCAATTTTTGTCCTTTTCCCAAATGCATACGTATGTATGTGTATGGGCTCCCTACGTAAAAATCAACCTTGAGTCACATCCTGCATTAGTGAGGAGACCGAGTAAATATTTTTCTTAGTCCTGTAGTGAGTGCGAAATAATAACAACTCTGTTCATCCACTCCCTTCAAATTCGGAGAATTGAGGAAAAAGAAGGAAATGAATTCGCGAGCCTATGTGAAATTTTCTTTGGACCAATGAAAACCTTGCCTTCATAGGAATTAACCGGTCAGCTAAGAAGAAAGAAAGAAAATAGTGAGCCTACGCGAAATTCTTATTGGTATAAAATGAGGAGAAAAATTAAATTAAACAGAGAAGATTGTCTGAAGTCATGTGAAAGGTTTCGTTTCTATTTGTCGCGTTCAGCGTTGAAGTTCTTGCCAGTGTAAAATTATTCGCTAATTATATTATCGGCTTCTAACCAAGCACGCATGTCTTCAAATATTTTTATCTTAACAATCCAAGAAAGCTAAATTTTTTAAACTAATCTCTCTTCGTTTACTTTTGAATGTATGCAACCGAATATCCCTTCTGTGGACTTGAGGTATGTGAGAGATAATGACGAGGAAACACACGTGTTATATTTAACAAAACAGAATAAGGAATTTATTTACAAGTTTACACATTTAGAGTTGCCAGTAGCTTGTTTCTGGAAAAGGATAAATATTTAAAATATCTAATATTTAAAGTTCATAGTTTCAATGAAGTGTCAAGAAGAGAAAATGTTCATATTAAATCATCCGACATAAAGTAATATTCCAAAATGTTTAAAACGAATTATTGAGAGAATTCGTTTTTCACATAAACGTTATAAGGTTGTATTCAGCATGAATGACAAGATATATTTTAAGGTACTTCGCTTTGGAATTGAATAAAGTTCTTTGAAATTGCTCTGCTTTCATTAGAAGCCGATAATGTATCAGCGTGTAATTTGACACTGACGTTGTTCTGACGCGTCGAACTCAGCTCCTTTCTGGTTCGCTCTGTCTCTCTCTTCCTTGATTCAACTTTTTTTTTTTGTCTATTTATATCAAAAAGTGTTTTACGTAGGCTCGTTAAACTTTGCCTTAGTCTTTTCTTCAGCTCGAAGCCAATCCCTTTTTCTAGTGGTCAAAATAAATTTTCGCACAGCCTCGCGACTTTGAAAACAGTGAAGAAGCAATGGAGAGTGAGAAGAAAGGACTACAGAATAAACTACAAGAAGACAGAATGCATGGTCATCAGTAAGAGGAAGAGCCCGAAATGTGATCTGAATGTCGGGAACACTAGAATCAAGCAGACACCGAAGTTTAAATACCTGGGAAGCGTCTTGACAGAGGATGGTAAATGCGACACTGAGATCCGTAGGCATATTGGGATGACCAAGGACACATTCCAAAAGCTGGGCAGAGTATTGTGAGGCAGGAGGATATCTTTGGTTACAAAGAAAAGAATACTGAACTGTTACGTTACCTCTGTCCTTCTTTACGGCAGCAAATGTTGGACGATTTCCTCAAAGAAGAGGAGGAAACTCGTAGCAATAGAGATGTAGTTCTACAGAAGGATTCTAAGGATATTGTGGATCAAGCATGTGAACAATGATGAGATCTTAGAGAGATTGCAAACAAGGAAGAAGCTTATACTTAATATCAGGAAGAGGCAGCTGAAGTTTCTGAGACACATTATAAGGAAGGAAGACCTGGGGAATCTGATACTCGCAGGTTGAATAGAGGGAAAGAGAGGCAAGGCAAAGCAGCGCGTGACATACCTGGCGAGCTTGAGCAGGTGGATGACAGAACATGGTCTGGGGGAGGAAGTAGAGGGAAGGAACTTGTTGAGATCTGCAAGGGATAGAGGAAGGTGGAGAGCCATGATCGCCTACGTCCTGAAAGGACACGGCACATAAAAAGAGAAAGAAGAAGAGAGAGTTATCTTATCTTTGTTTTTAGCATTTAATCTGTTGTATGAACATTTCCTCTTCACGGCAATAAGTTAAAATTATAGACTTAAAGAATTCTGTTTTATTTTCCTAAAACGAGCTACTGACACAACTTCAAGCGAGTAAATTCGTAAATAAATTCCTTATATTGTTTCATTAAAATTTCCCATGTGTTTCCTCGCCATTACCATTCTTCATTAATCTTCTTGGCGTGGGGAAATCAACTGTTCATTTTAAGCCCTAAGCCTCACGCCACTAGAGTCCCACTGCTCCTGACCTTTACAATTGGGACTCGCCATGCCACGTACACACGTGTGAATCATCCCCCATTCCTTTCGTATTTGATTAATAAGAAATGAGTTACATTCGGACTGCTTCATGCCAAGAACAGCTACTTTGTGGAACAAACACCGGTCAGGACATTTTCCTAGTTACGGCAATCATTGACCTCTTCAAGTTTAGGGAAAACCGTTATCCTTCCTGTATAACCCCATGAATTTCACTTATTGCCTTTTCTTACGCTCATGCAACACCATACAGTAGCACTCTATATTGAGTGGCTTTTGTGACTTGGTGAACATTAGAATAGATAGATAGATAGATAGATAGATATGACGACTTTGATAGACACACAGGCAGATAGATAGATCAGGATGTTTTCCCAATCACTACAATCTAGACCTCTTCAAGTCTAAGGTTAATCGTTATCTTTCCTGCATAATTCCATGAATTTCACTTATTGCCTTTTCTTACGCTCATACAACACCACACAGTAATCCTCTACCTTGAGTAGCTCTTGGGCCTTCTATAAAATAGTAGAAGCAATTTGGATTTACTTTTAATATTTTTACATTCCCTTATTTTGTCTTTTTGATAACAAAATATTTATGTATTTCTTAACTTCACTATTTTAATTTATTGTTATGTTATAGTCCCGTATGTGTGTAGGAGTCTCACTTTAAACTTTGCCTTGTACCATACTCCGTCCGAATTGATGTAGTTATATAAATACCCATAATAAAATATGTAAAAGAAAGCGCTCATTTTTCCCCGTCAGTATAAACATATTTTTTTTACTTCTATTGATAAAATTGCCTTAATTGGGTATTAAACTCACACTCTTTGGGTCCTGTCACTGGATCTAACCAACGCTTTTATCCACTGTGCCGCCGTGTCCTTGAGGCAGTGGAGAACTTGCAGAGGGGAATTAACAGGAGATAACTGGTAACTGATATCCATTAAACATGGCACGTGGAACTAGAACAGTCTATCCCAGTGAGCGAAATAAAGGGTTCAGTTCGACATTCTAACCACCTGAAGAAGGCCGGAGCGTACGACGACCGACACGTTGTAATAAATATGGCGACAAAGATGAGGATAATAGTCCGAATAATGTAAATAGTGCGGTCTACCCCCGTAGGTTAAATAAAGGGTTCAGTTCGGAATTTCGTGTAGGTTATCCGGGTCGATACACGCGTGATGAAAGCCTGAAGGAACAACTGTAGGGATGTTATGACAACAAGTTCGACATGTAAATAATTGTTTATAATATTTGGGACGATGTTTAATGTTAATCTCAGGACAATTGTTTGTATGTTTTCGCACAAAGGTTTGTTTTGTTCGAAGCGCAGAACATCCGGTTTCACGCGGATATTTACTTGAAAAAAAACCCAAATATGTTTCAGATAATTTAGAATCCAAGCAATGTCCGGTTCACAAACGAGTTCCGTTCCTAAGCCCGGCTTTAACCTGTTAACGGCCACTATCCCATTTTTGAGACGAGCGGTTATGAATGGCACATGTCGTGTTGCAGCTCAGACCAGACACCATGTTCGTTTTCAGGGTGGAAATTCTTCCATTTAAACGCTTACTCTTTGGCCAGATCGTCACCATAAAATAAAATCTTGAGACGATTATAACATAGGCAAATTTTATTAGGTTGTAACCATCCGATGAGCGAGGTAAAGTTGAAGCGGCCGTTAGGGTTGCGAACAGTCTAACAGGCATGTTAACAGTGCCAAACTGTCCGTTACTGTCGAGCTCTCTGATTTGAACAGAGAGGAATCCGGACGAGGGTTTGACGAAGGGCAAAGTTTCGTCCGGGGAGGTAGACAGACCCGGAACCGCTTATGCGGGTTCTAAGGAAATAATTTTCGCCGAGCCTACGGCCTCGGAGAACCCACGGTAAACTCGGCCTTGTGCCACATACATTCTTCGTGGGGGAGGGCTGTTAAATATTAACAGGCGTGTCTTCCTTTTTTGCGTCACGGCAATCGGTCTTTCGTCACTCTCCGTGCCTTTCTCTGGATTTCTTTGTTGCTCCTAGGAACCACTGTCTTATAGAGAGCAGCGTTCTTTGTCTTGTCATCTTTGTCTACACTGCGTGCCAAATTATTATCGAGATAACTTTTTTTCTAACATTTCAAAAACCGTCCAATCAATTCACACAAAATTTTCACACAATATTGGCAACACTGACCTGCGCAATCACTGAAATTTTCGTACTGATTTGCGCAATGTAAACAAACTGGCGCCATATTTGTTATCAGTACGGTGATTTGAGCGTGCCAAATTATTAGAAAAGTGTAAGAATTTAGTGAAAAGATGGGCCGTAAAAGCAGTTTGATGCTGAATAGAAAACTATCACCTCAGAACACTCAAAAGATAAATCTACCCGATAAATTTCTAAAATGATAGGGAGGTGTCATCAAACAGTGAAAAAGTTCACCGCCGACCGTCTCATGTCACGACTTAAACGAGAGGCCACGAATAACCCTG